AATGAAAACATAAATATGTAATTGGTTGATTAAATTAAAACTGGTTAATAAAAGTAATTATAAAACTACCTAAAATATGTTTAATTATTTTAAAAACATGTAATATATATTAATATAATTTGAATTAAATAATTCAATAATTAGATGGATGCCTCAATATTGCTAAACAAGAACAAGAAGCAAAGGAATGGTGTAATACTGCGACTCATAATTGCTGCAAAGTTTGATGGCAGGGTGACGAGAAATTGGAACAACTTATAGGAGATATTATCTCTCATCTAATTTATAGCTAACCAAGGAATGGTTAATTATTATTTCTCGTCATCCTGTAACTAGTTCTAATTAAAAAAAAATGGTATGATTTTTAAGAATTAGAACATTTTTAATATTTGGTTTAATTTTAATATAATTTTTGCAAAATTTAACCATACTCACACCATTAGGACAGTGAATAGGGATGGCAATTCCCCATAAGAGATAGTACACTTATGATTATTTTGTATAAATTATTTTAAAATGAATAATTAAATAACCAACTTTTAATTAGTTGAATGCTACTTGAAATATAAAATAATTTTCGGAAGTTATAAATTTATTTATTTATTTTTCATCAAATAAGTTTGTTAATATTGACAAAGGTTAAAAATGTGTTATAAAATGCACTTTTGATAAACTTTCTAGTATATCCTTTATTAGTGAATTTTTTCATTTTATGTTATTTAAATAATGTAAATATTTATTTATTTTATTTAAAATTTCCAGTTGAATAGAGAGTTTAGTAAAACAACAATTAATATTATCTTATAGATAACAAATAAATAAAAATAATTTTTTTGTTATCTTTATTGACAGGTAAATATATTTTATTAGAAAAATATATTCTTTACTTCAGTGGAATCAAATTAAGTTGCTCTAGCTAGTTTGGAGAAAAATAAAAAATTAAGATACACAAAATAGATTAGAGAGAGGAAGGTTCAATTTGAGCATTATTAGCACAAAAGGAAAAAACTCCGCATTTGTTTTTCATTTCTTGCAATGTTATACTAACTATTCCAATTGGATCATTCGTTGTTCCTTTGTCCCCTGATCGATTAATGTCAACTTCATATAAATTCTTTCGAGCAAATATATGCTGTTGACAAATTTCCTCTTATCTCCAAAGAACATAATCTTCAGTAGTTGAGTCTTTTCAGCATATTGACACCTGTACTTGTTTAAGCAAATATTTGATTTTTAAAATCTTATATAAATATAAATACATAATCTCGATATTTTTAGGATAGCAATTTTAATTATTCTTTTTCTCCTTGTGACGTAGCTGATTCCATATTATATCTACGATGATTAGTCTCCTTCATATTTAGCAAACGTAGTCCAAAAATAAAGAGAACAAGATGGGAACACCTTTTAACTTTGGCATAATGTATTAATGTCCACCTTGATGCTTCGTTTTTCTTGATTTATTACATCAAAATATATTCTTTACCCATTCCCTAAAAGCCCCACCCTGGAGTTGAAATGCTCTCTTTAATTTGATTCTTCAATTTCATAGGGTCACTTTTATTTGGACTGTACTGATTCATCAATTTATGTACTTATAATATGTACTCAATCATTGTTATGGGCTAATCCATCTCAACTCTCTTTCTCTTTTTTTAGCTTTTTTATTGGATTATACTCTTAATCATGCATTAACCACTAGTCCAGGTAATTTGAAAGGTGCATTAGCCACTAGAAAATCCCCATATTTTTATCCAAAAGAAAAAGGGGGGAAATCCACTAGGCAAGCTTAAATCTAGTGGTTGTCAATAGCAAGCCAAATTGAAGTTAATTCAATAATTAAATTAATAAATCTTGTATTATATAAAAAAATTCATATGTATAACTATTCAAATTTAATACTTTTTTCACCAAATCTTGATCTATATATTTATTTATTGAGACACGCATTCCTCTGCGGTTCACACAAGCAACACTTGTTAAAAATTCATTTTGACTTGCAATTTAGCCAAAACTGTTGTTTTATAACTAAACGCCCGTTTCTTCGTTTCTGTTCACACTCTCAATCATTAACAGATCGTGATTAGTAGTAATCTTATTCGGAGCATAAACAATATTGCTTGTGACCTCATTTAATAATCATTAACGATTCTTAGATATTTTTATATAACTAGGAATTTTCAATAGCGGCATCAAAAGTGGATAGAGCACTAGGGTACGTTTATGATGAGATTCATTATGTTTTAATCAGGAGTTAGCGTCCAAAGTAATCTAATTATAATTACCCATATCTGGTGTTGGAATTTTTTGTTGCAACTCTGGAAAAGTAAGAGAATACTAGTCTGATCCCCAGCTTGGTGGATGTGTGACGTACAGCTTCACTAATTCTATATATATGGATTATTTGATATAAGATACAATTTAATTACTGTTTATTACATTTTTTTTATTTTAATTTTAATAAAATTTAAATGTTCTCTCACTAATGCACAGTATCGTAAATCTGAATTTTTTTATTAGGATGAAATTTTAATTTTAATTAATTAAATATATCTAAGTTTTTTTTTTAATTTAAATTAGACTCGAATAGTACACTTGCATGTTAAAACTTTTTAGATATATAAAGACTAAATATTTTTTGCATAAACAAATATTCAATTTCTATGAGTAAATACACTTAACTACACCGAGTCTCTATATATATTGGATCCAATATTCTACTTGTCTCCCTCTTCCACACAATGCACACTAAGCTATTGCTATCACGAGTCAGCACTAATTAAGCTTTTTCAAAATGCTACCACGGCTTCACAGCATCTAATTTTTTAGCTACATGTATTATATATACTCTTCTTTTAATTTCCCTTTCTTCAATCATACGTTTTCCAACTTGTAACAGCTTTAATTTGGCATCTCATGCTGCTCACTATATTCAATTCCAGTATCAGCAAAGCTGTATCAACAATAGATGTGCAAATCTACAAGTTATTATGAGAGTGAATTTTCTTCTCATATCGTCTGGCCATAAACAGCGTTGCGTGTACATAAGGATCTATGAATCTCTTGGAACCTTGTTGTAAATTTTCAACCATATAGTTAGATTATGAACCTGAAAATGTTGGTAGCGTTTTGGGGAGGGAGAACAACCATATTCAATTTTAACCATATACTTATTTTAAGCTTTATTTGTGGCTTCGTGAATATTCTGCAAAATCTATTAATGATCAATAAATAAATTATAAAAAATAATTAATAGTATTATTAAAACCATACTTGCTTTGACATCATACTAGCTTTAATTTAAAATTAACAATGAGAATAATATGAATTCTTAGCCAAAACAGCATTCTTATGTCTTTTCAGAGTTATACAGTTCTATTACTTATTCGTTCATTAGTCATTCATAAGAAAATTTGAATTTAATTAGGTTCAACTTTTATAGAATTTATTTAAATTGATTTATAAGCCATATTATATATATAGAAAGATATTTTAATATTAATATTTATATTTAAGCTCCTAAAAGAAAATTGTTGGTTCCACTGTTGCATGCCGTTATCATGACAAAAAAGAAAGGTCAGTTGGATGGTTACATGAAAGAGTACTCAAATCGCACGTGATGTATGGTGTCATATTCACAATGTAATAAACCATTTACTTTTCACATCAATTATTATGTATATAACACGTGCACACATATTTGTATTAACTAACAGAGAACTGAAAAAATTAAAACTAATTAAATTTTGGCGTCAATATTAATGAGAATAATCAAATATTAAAAACAATCTTATGATAATGTAATGTATATATTATTGTTATAAAAAAATTTCATTTATTAAGAAGTAAGTTAAATACTAGCACTGATGTATTGATAACATCATAATATTTTATATCAAATAAATTATTTGTATATTATTAGGATAAATCCAAACTGTATATATTAAGAATTTAATTTTCATTAAAAATTATACTGATGAATATTAATTTAATATGACTGTTAATAAATAATAATTTTTGTAATAGTATATTCCCTTGAAGTGGACTGTGATGGAGTTAATATTAAAAAATTGACTTCAAGCATCCCAATTATTAGTGCACAAAATCGTTTGTTTCTAGAAAATTTATTTTTATGCATATATTGAGGTAAATTTTATATTTTGAGATTTTTAGTCAAAAGCAAAGTAATTTAATAAGGTTAAAAAAATTGAAGAATCGAAATCACATACAATTTGACTAATTTTTTTAATTATATTTTTAACATACATCTCTAACCATCTTCTGGTTCAATCCAATTCAAACTAAAATTGAAATCTAAGGTATCAAATGTTATATGCAACACATTGATGCCGTAATCGATGAAATCGAGCAGCAAAGAAACATAATTTGTGTTTCTTTATAAAGCTAAGTCTTTCAAACATTAAAAATTTAATTTCTTTCACACATCAATCATCCCAAAAGTCCCACAAAAAATGTTATATAGACTAAAGTGTTTAATGTTTAACAACGTTTCAAATCAATGCACCCATTTAAAAATTTTAAAAACTAATTTACTTGATGCTCAAGAGATTAATGTGAAGTTTATTCCACTAATTTTGTTATATCATTGAAGATCATTGAGCAATTCATGATTGTATTTGTATCCCAGTGATGGGCTTGTTATGTGCTGATTGATTATCGATTATCCAGTCCCAAGCATAGGCTTTTGTTAAAGCCCACATGCCCAAAGAATAGTATGTTTATGCCAACCAAAAAAAGAGGCTTTAATAGGGAAATCATTTGAGTAAATCAAGGAAAGAAACACCTCTTAATACAATATTTTGTGATCTGATCGTGTCTTAAATAATAAACAAAAACAAAATCTGATTTAAAAGAATCTTGTAAATACAATATATTTTCATAAACAATTTTTTAAAATGTTTTTTTAAAGATTGGGGTTGGAATAGAGCCACATAAGGCGAAGAGGTGTCAGCAGGCAAAAGTGCCACGTGTACGTTTAAGCTTCTACCTCTCTGCTCTGTCTCAGTTAGAGACTTAACTCTCAAATCTGCTTTCGCCGTTCCTAATTCTACAAAATTCTGAAGCTCAACGGAGAAAATTGAATCGAATTATCAAATGAGGAGAGTGGCTTCACGCTTGATCCATTCCACGCCTTCCATTTCCAGGCTCAAGTCAGCTTTTTATCTTTTCGCTTTCATTCCTTTTCTTTTAAACCGTTAGGTTCCGTTATCGTGTCGTTTTTTTCTTTGTATACGCAATTCGATAACTGCTTGTTGGGGTTGGGAACATCAATATAATTTGCGCTCCACCTTTTCTTTGGAAATTCATATTTTAATTTTATATTCATGTTCATATGCTGTAACTATTTTTTATTTTTTTTTAGTTTTTAATTTTTGGGTAACTACCTGATTGAAATGTAATTGAATTCTATCAAATTGACAATGCTGCGCCAATTAAGTGTATTGCGAGTTTATTCATTTATGGAAGTCCAAATGTGGTTTGAAGTTTATGTTCAGTTGGTGGTGTTTTTCTTCATGATTTGTAAATTAACCATTTCATGGTGTTTTCCCTTTTATTACCTTGAAGTGCAACGGCAATTTCGATCAACGGAAGAAATATCTCCACAGAATCTAATAAGGTTGACGAGCCATTCAAAGTTGAAGAAGCTGAAACCGTAAATGTGCCCCCACCTCCAACGGAAAAGGTATTCTGCTATGATAATCGTATGTGAAACATTTTAGTTTTGTACTTGTTTTTCTATGTCTTTTGTAACCTAAAACTTATCTTTAATGTTTTTTAAAGTTGCTTGTGTTGGGAGGCAATGGATTTGTTGGATCACACATTTGTAGAGAAGCCTTAGATCGTGGTTTGTCTGTTGCAAGTCTTAGCAGGTTTGAGATTCTTTTTCCATATTTGTACAACTATCTGTCTATCATGCTTTATGTATTGGAGATAATTGTTTTCTTATGGGGTATTTGTGGATAACGAGATAGTAACTGGAAGTTTAATCAATATCCTGTTGTATTAAATTATGGTTTTGCAAGCTTTGTTACCTGCTTTTCATGTTTATCATTTAACACTTTTCTCCTTGTAATGCATCTGCATTGCCGTTCACTATGTGTTTTACTCCCAGGTCTGGTAGGTCATCCCTGCACGATTCTTGGGCTACCAATGTTGCTTGGTACAAAGGTCTGCTTTTTTTTGGCTTTTCCTTGTAGACAAAATTTTTGCTCGATACTATAATGCTAAACTGTCTGTTAATAATTAGGGAATCTCCTTTCAACTGATTCATTGAAAGAAGCTCTGACTGGAGTCACTGCTGTGGTAAGTTTCCATTATCTTCTTATTATGCCTGCTAAAATTTTAGTTGCAAGTTTTACCTTAGTTTGTTATAATGCCTGGTGAATATTTAGCGGCTAAGAGCAAGCCCAAAGCCATGTTGGTTTTACTTGTTTTATGTTTCCTTTGCAATTACAAGATTATATTTTTTATTTTAACCAATTTGTTTAGTGAGAGTCTGCGCTTTGATAAAGTTTTCTGTGACAATACATCTCCCTGTTACGACCCAACTTGGGATCTGCTAGGTGAAGGTGGTTGAAGCCTAGCCTCTACCACTGGTGAATTTAGTTAATGTTGATGAGAATGAATGTACAGTTTAGTCAAATGTCATGATAGAAAAGGAAAAAAGGGAGTCTTTGTTATTGACTGGGAGATAATTTTGGGTCGAAAGAATTATAGTAAGATTGCATGGAATTAACTGACCTAATGTATCTGAATGCTGTTGCTTAGGATACGTATTATTCTTAATATTTTTTCCCTTCCCTTGATATGATTGGCCTATTGTGCTAACTTGTGTTTCTTTTCTAAGATCTCATGCGTTGGTGGTTTTGGCTCCAACTCATATATGTACAAAATAAACGGTACTGCTAACATCAATGCAATTAGAACTGCTTCAGATCAAGGTAATTGAGGAATTCACTCGTTTGTTCTTTATAATCTATGTTTTCAATTCTTACCATTCTCAGTTTTTGGTTCTACTGCTTAGAGTAGCAAGGGCAATGCCCACGCCCATCTTTCTTTTGAGCTTACAACAATAGCAAATGAACCTTATCTCACTAGGTAGAATTTGCTGAATGGGTCCAATGATATGAATGGACTTAAAGAAATAAATTTGGAGAGAGAAAAATGGTGTACAATTAAAGACAACATAATTCCTATTTCCACTTAAACACATAATTCCTTTTAAAGATTGAGAAAAAAGAAAAAAGAAGAAATTTGCATGTTAATGGTAAGCTTGTTGAGATCTCATGACGAATATCTTAATACCTGGTAGTGTTGCAATTTGAAAATTATCCCCAATACAAATTTTGGAGACTGTTATATGCACAGCATTTAAACCTTCCACAAACAAATAGCAGTTAACTGTTTAATCCATATAATCCACTTTATTGCAATCAAAGATATGGATTTTTACCAGTGTTTATGATTTAAAAAAATTATGGCAGCTCAATAATTCCACAATTTTGTTCATTTGTTGGGATTATTATTAACAAATCAATATATCAGCTCAATATCTCCTTACTGTTTCAATATTATGCCGTAAGAGATACTAGCAGCAGCAATCACTAAGTTTGTTTTACCCCTGATAGATTTCTAGCCACCCCTCTCAAGATACAGTCATGACGTAGTTATTGCCATTGAAATACAAATATGGTAAATATTTTCCTGTTTGGATAATCTTGAGAACCCCAAAAAAAAAGTAACAACATAACTCAATCCTTGATGTCCCTGAACTAAAACATATCTCCTGCCATGTAATGATTGATACAGGACAATTAATCAATTAGAAGCTACAAATCACAAGAAATAAACTAACAGTGGGAGTAATGGGAAAAAGAGGGATGGTAATGGTTGTCAGTGGGGAAAAAGAAAATTTCTTCTGTGGCTGTCACTACTCACTATTGTCTGTCTTATTATAAGAAAGTGTTGCTGTAGCAGCAAACCACAACTTCAGGTTTTTAGTTTTTATATGTAGTATGGCCTTAACCCTTAATTAATCTTGGAATTGCCATACAAGGCATAGAAATAGGATAAAATATGTTTGATGCTGTTGTCCCATTAGGATAACATATGTTAGATGCAAAACAACTATAAGCTTTCCATTCTGTGAAGTCTCTAGCACTTATTATCATGAGCATGAGCTTTCTGTTATAAAATTATGTCTTTGACGAAGAAATAATGCAATAATTGGATATTATTCTATGCTTTTTTACGCAGTTTGCCAATTTGGGCCATTATAGATGTATAAGATGATGCTTCATTTCATGTATGTCAAATTGGTCCTGTTGTCTCTGTTGCTCTTTTCCTTTGTCAACACATCTGTGTATTTATTTGTTTTGTGAAATTTAACGAGTCTAACAAGAGAAGCTGGAAAGGAGTTGATTTTGTTTCCTCATCTAAATTATTGAGTGTTATTTAGCCAAGGAGTTGATTTATTGGGTTTAAGTTTTGGAAATTCTTACTTTTGACAATTTATGCTATTTTTTTTTTAAGAAAAAGGAATTACTTTAATTTTCAAACTGGTCAAACAATGTGTTAGTTATTGTTTCCTATCCTGTAGTCCTGTGGAGTTCTCTGCCACTTAGTGTTGTTGGATGATTTGCTCTTGGTCCTGCAGGTGTTAAAAGATTTGTCTATATCTCTGCTGCTGACTTTGGTGTAGTAAATTACGTACTGCGGGGGTATTATGAAGGAAAGGTAATATAACCATCTTTGCTTCCCTTACTGATTAATCTTTTGCAATAACCTTCCCTCATGGGCTTCCATCACTTTAGAGTTGGGTTTAATTCATTGTATATAACAGGTCATTTAAAGAGATACATACTGATTCCAATGGTTGGCAAGTTTTCTTTTTGTCACTGCTAACTATTATACTTTGCTTCTTTAGTTGTCAGTTTGTAAATATTCTGTATTCTTTCTCTTTAGACTGCAATAATCATCATGTGCACATGCTTCTATTCCTATGAAAGAGAAAATTTTGAACATTTGGTGCGGAGATATTTTCTGTTTTAATATCTGAAAATTTATATATATCGTATCTTAATTGATGCAGAAAGCTGCTGAAACAGAACTCTTGACCAGATTCCCGTATGGAGGTAAGTATTTTAGCCTCTTAACATTGACTGGACTTTGGTGGTTTTAAATTTTATCTCTTGCCATGCAATGTGTTCACTATCATACTTGATAAAAGCAATATGTGACACTGTTCATCCTCACCTGTTTTTCTCTTTGCAAACTGTTGAAAAGATGTTTCCTTATTAAAAGAAATGAAGAAAATAAAATTTTCCATCTAACTGAGAAAAAAGTGAAGTTGCTCATGATTCCTGGTATGGAGAGTCATGCTTGTACTTGATTGGACCATTGCATGTTTCAGGTGTAATTCTGAGGCCAGGGTTTATTTATGGGACACGAAGTGTTGGGAGTATGAAGATTCCTCTTGGTGTAATTGGATCTCCATTGGAAATGGTAATTTCATGTGCTTCTCTAGTATGACACAGACATTACTTTTTCAGTCCGGACGTGGAAATAGCTTTTCTCCTTTGCTGAATTGACATTAATTTTTGTATATAACCTGACTAAGCCAATGTCTTTAGGGGTTTTCCCCATCTTTGCATTCTTCATATTTATTATTAGTTATATAGGGGATTAGGGGTTCAGCTGTTCAATTATGGCCATCTAAACTGATCACCAGTTGATTGATTGGTTATTAAGCATCCTGAAATTGAAGTTTAAAATCCGCTTTCCTGCAGTAAAAGTTCGAACTCACGAGTGTTCATATATTTGCAGTATACATTCAAGGCATAGAACACTTCACCTTCTGGGTTTTGATTGAATGTCTAATTCTTAAAAATGCTTTAATTTATCCTGAATATCAGTTCAATAAATTTATTGTTTCCCATGTTTTTTACTGCAATTAATTCACTTGATTGCTGTAGGTTCTCCAACATGCTAAACCGTTGAACCAGATCCCGCTTGTTGGGCCTCTATTGACACCTCCTGTCAATGTTACAGAGGTGGCAAAAGTTGCTGTTAGAGCTGCTACTGATCCTGTTTTTCCCCCGGGGATCTTAGATGTCTACGGAATTCAACGTTACAGTCAGCATAAATCAAAGTAGAATTATCTTTATTTTGTTTTCTGAGTAAATCCGATAGAGGGAGATTTACTTCTAAATATCGGCGTTTGCTATATAGTTAAACTGAGAATATTTCTCCATGCCATTTCTTTTGATAGAATAATACCTGAAAATGCGTGCATGTAGCCATAGATCGTTCTTTCCAATTTCCTCAATTCTAATACGTCAGAATATTTTTTGTTGAACTCTTTCGCCTGATGTAATTCACCACTCAGGTGGGGTTGATGTATAATTGATTTCATTCCAAAGACGGAGAGGGACTGTGAACAAAGGTTTTGTCACTTGATTTTCAAAGGAAATAAAATATATTCCCGTGGTGTAACTTTTCATAATTTTAGCCCGAGTCCATGAATTCAACTGTTGCGTTTGTGATTGCACATCTGGAAAAATCGATTGGTAAATTGACCTGAGGTTTCCTGATTCATAAAATTTTATTGGAAGGGGGTTCGCATTAGGCCGGTTCAAATTAAGTTCAAACCAAGAGTTCGGTTTTTTGAATTGAATCGTTTTATAAGTCTATGAACCGGTAAGAAGTGGTTTAAAATCAGTTTGAAATCGGTTTGACAGCTTAGAATCGGTTCCTGGTAGTAGCTGTTGAATAATTTAGCTATTCACATGATTCAAAATGTGGCTGTTGAATAATTTAGCTATTCTCATGATTTAAAAGGAAGTATCTTTTAAGTTTTATGTGTTTGATCTGTATTTTGCATAATATTTAGAATAAATTTTGTCTTTTACATATTAGAGTAGTTTAAAAGGTTAGTGCTTAATATATTCAAGCAAATGTTTACATAAAACAACATTGTCTAATTTTTTTTCAAACTAAAATACTAACGCTCAAGTAAAAATATTAAAAATTTGAAAGAAAAATTTATTTAAAATTTTCGCTCAAATAAAAATTCTTTTAGTTGAATGAAAATTAAATACTTGAATGAATCTAGTGCAAACTAAAAACAGAAATTAAGTAATATATACCTATTCTATTAAAATAATTTAGCGTGAACTGAAAATTAAATAGATATAGCAAAGAGAGAATGGAAAGTCTCACTCTCACCAACCAAAGGTCTTGACCTTAGTTTAGAATTGGAAAAGTGCAAACGGAGAAGAGCATCCCCAATTTCCCTTCCATTTACAAAGGCATAAGCGTGATTATTTTGGAAGAGAATAAGTATATTTATGTTACATTTAAATTTAAAAGTATTATAATTTTAATATTCTAAAATTCAATAACTCTAGAAACTTGAATGTTTGAAAACATTTGTATCTTTCTAAGTCTGATTGGAGCACTGGTAAGTGGAGCATTATGATCCGATCGACACAAAATAAAAGATTTAGAGCATGTTTATTTTTAAAAATATTATTTAAAAAAAATAAAAAATCCATTTATTAATATAAGTTTTATTTTAGTTTTTAAATTATTTTTAAAATATATTTTTTTAAAACACAAACATGTTAATGCTTATTTAACACATTTTAATTTCTTTACCCTTCTTTTTATTAATTACATTATATTATTAATTACATTTATCGTTTCTCTCCCTTATTTTTAACACATATCTACCAATATTTTTCTTCTAAAAAATAAAAATAATTGACTTGAAAACAAGAATTGACTAGCTTGTGCATTCTAGGAATGTAAATGAGTCCAAGTCCATGGTCGTAGTAATTTGTTTCTAACACTCTATAGTTGTCACATCAACGCGCCTTCACATCAATAAAAATGAAAATCGTTCGTGTACATTGCAGTTTTAGGGTGTAGAAATAGAAAGAAGAGATGAATTAAAAAAGAAAAGAAAATGAAAGATACGTTAAATGACATGATATATATATATATATATATATAATGTTTTATTTAATTTATATTTAACGATTATAATTTATTTAAAGTTTTTAATAATCAGTAAAATAAGAAATTATAATATATTATATATAAATTAAATAAAAATTTAAATCTATTTACACTTACACTATTAATAGAAAGATTATGTCCGCTGTATATAGTTTAAAACATATGCAAAAACGTCATTTTCGACAGCTCATTTCCTTGTAGATGATCCGAAGCGAGGAAAATGAATGATTCGTTGATTTCCTACTACAACACTTGAATAAGATCAGGGAAAATGAGAAGAAATGAAAATGAAAATTAAACAACAAGGAATAAAGATTTCAAAGTAGAAAATTATGAAACACGCTTAAAGAATATAATAACTATCAGTTGTTGAAGTGTTGACGAGATGGTCCACAATGGTCGTAAATTGCTATAACATGATCATTAAATTGACACACACAACTTCAATTATATGTAGTTCAGGCTTTCCTCTTTAGATTCTCCTTATACCAATCCTCTTTTCCTTACCTTCATTTAATTGGTTATCATCATGAATGACTCACTGAAAGCAGCTGCACAAGTGGGAGACATAGACTTGCTCTACAAACTCATTCAGATGGAACCATATCTCTTAGAACACACTGATTTGATACCCTTTGTTGATACCCCTTTGCACATTGCTGCAGCTGCTGGGCATGCAAGTTTTTCGACTGAGATCCTGAGACTCAAACCTTCATTTGCATGGAAGCTGAATCAGTATGGGCTTAGCCCCATGCACCTTGCTTTGCAAAACAAGCATTATAGAATGGTGTATCGCTTTGTAGACATCAATAAAGAGCTTGTTAGAGTGAAAGGGAGAGAGGGTCTTACTCCTTTGCATTTTGCAACTCAAAGTGGAAAACTTGATGTTGTGGTCAAATTCTTATCAGCATGTCCAAGTTCTATTGAAGATGTCACTGTTAAAAGTGAAACTGCCTTGCATATTGCTGTGAAATATAATCAGTTTCAGGCTCTTGAGGTATTGGTTGGATGGCTTCAGAGGAACTGTCAAAAACATGCAAAGGACCAAGAAAAACATGTGCTGAACTGGAAGGATGAGGCAGGCCACACCATTCTTCACCTTTCAGTTCTCAGAGGCTTCTCACAGGCAAGCATAATGCGTATTCTTCATCAGTTCTTTCATTTTTGTTGAGAATAAGGGGATGCTTAAAAATGACCTTCTATAAGGGTTTATTTGAGCTATCGAGCAACTCATCGAATTTTTTAATAACTTTATATCAAAAAATTCTTGTTGAAAAAAAGTTATCGAAGAGATCAAGATCCCTGCAGTAAAATTTATAATGTATACAATAACTTTAAAATATATTTTAAAATAATTTTTTATTTATTTTTCCTCATTTTAACAAGCAACTGATCACACCCATTTATTTCTCTCTCAAATAAAATTTTATACAAAATAATTGTTTAAAGGATTTTTGTTTTTATAAAAAAATTATCTAATTTTATACAAAATAATTGTTTAAAGGATTTTTGTTAAAGTTAGCTTACAAATATAACTCTATTTGTCTATTTTAAGTGAACTAATGAAATTAAAATATATTGTATTAAAATTAGATAAAAATTTTATAAATAAAATATCATTAATTCATTTAGAATATAATTATTTATCTCATAAAATAATTTAAGCAAACCCTTATTTCAATAAAATTTCTCTATAAAGTAGCAGTACATGTTGAATATATATCAAGCTATTGATTTCAATGATATGCATTGTGTATTCTATGTACAGGCAGTTAGATTATTAATTGAAAGCAACATAGACATAAATGCGAAGAACATAGATGACTCAACAGTGTTGGACATAGTGGAGACTCAGACTCACTCTTACAGCCCAGAGATGAAAAACATGTTAGTTCAACGTGGAGCTTTGCGTGGTTTTTCACTTGCTACATCTCCACTCCTTGAACAGGAGCTAAGAGCCAAAATCACACTAGATGAGAGAATAGCAATTTGTGTCACTCGTCTCAGAAGGAGAATATCAAATGACACACGCAATGCATTGTTGATAGTTGCTATTTTCTTCGCAACTAGCACATATGAAGCAGCACTTAACCCCCCGGGTGGAGTTTATGAAGCTGGGAGTAGTGCTTCATCCTTGAAGAAAACTGGTATATCCTTCAAGCATGTTAATGAAGAAACAATGCGAGAAAGCGTTGGAAAAGTGGTGATGCAAGTTCAAGCATTCTTTTGGTTCTGGGCATTCAATACTTGTTCCTTTTATATGTCAATTTTGATGATATGCTTGCTTATGCCAAGAGGGCGCATAAGCGTTATTGTGACTTCTCCACTTTTAATCTTTTCTGGGTGCTACGTGTTTTCCATGCTTTTAATATCACCAAGCCTTAGTTTAACCATTGCCACCTGGATTGTGCCATGCATACTAATAGTATTGTACTGTTGGGGAGCTTCAATATATGTTAGATTAGCCAAAAAGCTTAAAATGTATGGATGCAAACTAGAAGACAAATCAAAGTTTGCTGGAGGAAACAGATGGTAATGGCATAAATAATGTGGTTCCACTTCAAACACTCTCACTGATTCGTGGATGCATATTAAATGTGGGTGAAGAGTCAGCATAGATTATAATGAGTAACACTTGCTTTTTTCATAGTGTAATAATTAATTAATTCCAACTGAAATTTTACTTTAATCATAATAATGTTGGTGTGTGTCTGCGTTTGTCTGTGCTTAACCTGATGGAAGGAAAGCCAAGACAAACAAACTTTTGAATATGTAATGAAACATATAATAGAAATGAGAGACTTTTTTTTTTTTATATATAAATTTGGTTTGAATGATATAATATCTTACATTGTTATTTATACACAAATTTTATTATAACATTTTGCAATATCTTTTTAAAATAATAAGATTACACAAGAATTCTCTCCCTATTTTTCAAAAAATAAGCATAAGATCAGCAAAAATAACGAGATGGAAAAAAAAAAAGATTGTTCAAAAAGTTATTCTAATTTATAAAATTTTAACGTTAAGAAAGTACAATAAACTTTATCTCACTACTCACACATATTTTTGAAACTGATCACAAAGAACCTGCATAATTCTCAATCTATTATGGGTTGTATGCAATAAACCTAGATTCAACTCAACAAAATAAATTGAAGAAAAATGACATAACCCCTTTTACGTATATAACTATTTTGGTAGTAATGAACCACATCCTGAACAATGGCAATGCATCGTTATAAGTAGTGTTAAAGTAATGGGTCATAACTTAAGGATTAAGCAAAGCCTCTAGCCATTTTGAACTTGCCTCTTCTCCCAACCACAACAAGTTCTCATTTTGGCTCAATTACTGGGTTCCTAGAAAACACAAAGGTGGAATTTCCCTTTAATTTACCACTGGTAAACGCAAAATTAATCTTCCAACACGACAATACTGGTCATCTTATCACATTGGCTAGAAGATATATAAAAAGAGGCCATGCGCATTCCCAATAACTTCGGAGTTGTACAAATTCGTTCATATTCTCCTCACCAACCTGTCTAAGTGTTAAATTATTACAGGTAAAAATCCAAAAATAAAATTGCTTTTCTTTTAAAAAAAATTGAGATAAAACTCTTTTAAAATTTAATCAAATTAAAAATAATTCAATTCTATTTTAAATCAATATATTTTATTTTAAAATTAAAAACTGGCAATCCCGTCAAACAATCTTAACATTTAAAATAAATAACTCAATTATTTGTGCAGTTTTACCGTTTGCATCTAGACTAGACAGTAGATGGTCCATTGACCAGTCAGCTAATCGATTTGGCTAGAACAATGAATTTAGAAAAGAAAATGTTTTAAACATGTTATTTTAAGATAAATTTATTTTTATTTTTATTATATTTATCTCAATTTAAGTATACATTTTAAATTTATATTTAAATATTTATCTTTATACTTTATTTTATATATTCGTTTCTATTTTTTGTCCCTATATATATATATTCTTTTTGATTCAACTATGAACCTTTTTTTTGGTCAAGAACTAGGAAACTATTGACTATGTATGTCAACTTTGTCGATGATTGATTTCTTATTTTTGGTCAAGTCAAAGATTGATCCAAATTAAACGTCATTGGGCAAAAAGTAAAGAGTTAGGTTTGGTAGAAAGGAAAAATAAATATTTTATGAATGATATCAGATTAACTTATGAATATAATTTTTTTGTCAGTCAATTTAATTTTCAGAGTTTTTGACATGGGCTTAATTTGACTAATAAAATACATATTTAAAAATCACCAAATGCAATTTTTACCATATAAGAACTGGTATGTCATACATACATAGAGAGATAGCAATAGATTAAGGTACTGGAGTACTTGTATTTTATAAGATTATCCGTACTCATTTTTATACTTGTTGCATAGCTGTGAGCTCGTACGTGCTACTCATAGTTTGTTAAAAATAAAAAATTTATTCTAATACTTTCTTACAAATTAATAAAGCATAACTATCACTATAGAAGAAGCTGTCTTGTTTAAAGATGGACTGAGGATAATAAAACTGTCCACAAAAACTTAAAAAATAGGTTGATGAATTAATAAATTAATGAATTAGTTGCTTAAAAATTAACATAAAAATAGAAAAATTAAAAAAAATAAATTAAACTTATAAAAAATATTTTCATATAATAATAATTAATCTTTAACTAATAAATAATTATATTTATTTTTAAAATGGGTCGACGAACTGGGCTATCCTAGCTTACTATTGGCCCACATCTTAACAAATTAAACAAGGTAAATTAGACAAGCCCGCAAATGTAAAAACTTTTTACTCGGGTTATGCGGGCCAACTTATTTGACTTCCCTTAAATTAACATCTACTTGCTAAATGAATTAATTATATATTTTTAATTTTAACAAGGCTTTAACTGTTCTAATTTAATTAATGTTTGACAAGCATGTTGATTATTTGATTGTTCCATTGCCAAATACAACCCCATAATCCTCAACGCATAATTTGTTTCTTGGAATTACTTTAAACTCAAAACAGAACAAATTGAAGAAAAATGACATAACCCAACCAGCTAGGTAATTAATTAAAGTTTTAGTAATGAAGAACAGTAACACGGTACTCAAGAATGGCATCACCATTTGTAGCATTAAAGTAATGAGTCTTGATTCGAGCGAATCCTCTAGCCATTCTAAACCTACCTCTTCCCCCAACCACAGCAAGCTCTCGTTTTGCCTCAGTCACTGGGTTCCTGGAAAACACACTGATTGAACTTCCCTTGAATTTTCCTGCAGTAAACCCAAAATCTACGTACATCACCAAGGTCAATTTATCATCTTGGCTTGCAGATAAATATAGACCTCGTGCATTCCCAACAACTGTTGAGTTTGCATGAGGACCTTCCTTTAGTTCATCATCAATAGCATATACATGCCCAAATGGGGTGGCTAATTTTGCACCAATGGTGATGTTGGGGCGTGCAACCTCTATGGCACTTGGTTTATTTCCACTTAGAATGTCAAAGAGGTAGAAATGGAGATGGGTCACTTTCTCCTTTAGATGTAGCTTGTGCGAGCTCTCATAGTGGTATTCAGAATGCACCGGATTAATGGTGACACTGAAGAATAGCAAGGGCACAACTAGGAGGATTAATGATGCTTTGTTCTCCATTTTCTCTTCTTTAATTTGTTTGATACAAATAACACTTGGTTGCGTGGAGATTTATAGTGCTTGAAAGTGTTATTTGATTCGTTTAGTTAATTGGAAACCTTGATATTGATAAGGAAGTCTTGTGATTCGTTCCACATCCATAAATGTATTTTTTCATTTCTTTACAAGTCAAATATTTTCTAAATGTTGTATTAGAAAATATTAAATTTCTGGATACAGCATTAATTGCTATATCAATTATAATTAAATGCAAGACCTCAATTGCTCTTAGAATTTATTTTAATTTAATATTTGGAATTTCAAGTTATTTTTAATTTAAATTTATTTCTTTTTAAAGAGAGTTTTGCAATTTTAAAATTTCATTTTTCTACCAATTATATATTTCTGTTTAAAGATTTATATGATTCTGGTCATAGTAGTTCAGAGATCTTTAATAAATTGACAATATTCACGTAATTACGTGTTTTTATTTTTAAAAAAATGTGTTCAAAAATACGTAACAAAAAATTACATATAATTTTTTTATTAAAAATAATACGATATAATAAGATCTAATGCATTAATTAATAACATTAAATATTATAGTTTTTAATAAAATATAATACTCTTTTTGTTTTCTAAAAAATAGTTGTTTAAGACTATGACACAAAAATTAAAAAATGAATTTAATTATTTTATTTTATTAAAAGTATTATGAAATATCTTATTATATTTATTTTTCTATTTATTTATGTAATAAAAAAAAGAAATTAAGAAGATAAAAAATAATCCTGAGATAATAATTATTTTGAAATAAAATTGAAAACGATTAGTCCTATCTTAAAATTGTAAAATGATTATTATTTTAAAAAATAAGATTAGTTAAAAAGACTATTTTTCAAAGACAGAAGAGTGTTTATTATTTTAATTAAAATATATCATTGAGTACACGTAGGAAAAAATAATAATACCGCATTCAGCCCTATTTAATTAAAAAAGACAGATACCTAATTCATCAAAATAAAAAAAAATAGTTATATATTATATATTTATATTTTATTCCATAAATATTCATAATCTAAATTAGTATTTTATATATTAATGAAAAAAAATGTATTCACTTATTACTTATATGAGTAAAAGGTATACCTTATAAATTTTTTAACAATTAATATACTTGAAAATAGGTCTTTATTTTTTATATTTTAAACAAAAAAATTATTTTCCTATAAACATGGCAAAAAAATAATATTTCTTAGAAGAGACAATGTTGTCCGTACCTTATATTAATTTTTAATTAACATAATTTTTTATTCTTTCTCAAAATAAAAATATTGATGCCAGGGGTAAGCGTTAACTTCTTCCTTTTTTAAAAAATTTAATTTTAAAACAATTAAAATTAGTAAATTTTTTATATAAAAAATAAATATTATTTTAAAAGAATTTTTAAACAATTAAAAAAATTTATATGAAAAGAAATTCAAAATAAACTGTGTCAAAAGACTCAAAAGTCTCTCTCTCTCTCTCTCTCTCTCTGAATAAGAAGAAAAAAATTAAAAAAGTCACTTAATCTCTGACGGTAGAAAATTCAACAAAGGTCATAAGTATTAGAAAAGATATGCTTTGAATTATAAAATCTTTTGGCCAAAAAGTTTTGTACACAAAAACTAGCTTTGGTAAACATGTTTTTTCTTTTCCGAATTAATTATATATCATGTTTATTCGTAATTATCATGGTGATGCAAGATGTACTTTTGAGAGTGAAAATAAGTTAAGTCTAACCTATTTAAAATTATTTTTTAACCCATTTAAGCAAGAGAGAGATTATTTGATTTTTCAAAAACTGGGTTACACGTTAAAATAAAACTTAATTAAACCCATATCTAACTCTTTTTTCCCCTTTCTCATAGTAGGTGCATGGGTAATACATCTTCCACACTTCATTAGCACTAACAAAAGAAAAATCTCTACAATAAGATATTTCTATTATATGATATATTATAAAGTATAGTGTCAGAATATACAAGAAACTATAATTAGTGATAAAATAAACTCCATCGAGTATGTTGCAAATTCGAAATAGATACATATAATTTTCTTTCTAGATTAAAATAAAAAAAATGAAAATATGTAATTTTATTTAATTTCTTAATAGATAATATAAAATGCACTGGCCACTGAATTTCGTTGGTAGAAAGAAAATTGAGTTAACAGTTGAGTAAAATTGACCAAAAGAAAAAGATGGAAGTTGCCTGTGTTTACTTTTCAAAGGCACCCCGAGGACTATAAATAGGGTTTTCTGTTGCGAATGCAGTTTACTAGGGTGCATATTCCAAAATGGGGAAGAAGCATAGTCCCCAAATAAGCATGGTTTATTGGTGTTTAAGTTTGTACTTGGGCATGGCGCAAAGAAAGGAGAGATCAGTCCCAGTGGCAGTGAAAATTGGAGGCATTGTTGATCTGAAGGAAACGATTGGGAAGATGGGGTTCAGCTGCATCAACATGTCCCTCTCAGACTTCTATCTCTCTCGTTCTCATTACAAAACCAGGCTCCATTTCACCCTCAGAGACTCCCAAAGTGACGTTCTTACTGCTGCTTCCCAAGGTTCATTCTCCTCTGCATCTTTAATTGCCATATGCTGTTATCTAATACTTCAATAATGATACATAGTTTAGTTTGAAGGTGTTAGTTAATTTAGATTACAATAAAATTGAAGGAGATGGGGTTTTGTGAAGAAAAGAGCAATGCCATTATCACTCTCAAATTAATAATAAATTTCAACTAACTAATTAAAAATAGAAGATAATGCTGAAAAAATGAACCAAAAAGCGACATGAGTTGGTTCATCCTTCCCCAAAGCAAGCGTGTAAAACGGAAAAAGATCCCCTTCTTATGATTGGTTCCGTGTCCGGTCCAACACGCGGCTACATGACTTAGACCGGTTTTTAAAAACTAATTAATAATTAATATTTTTATCAAAAGTTAAGTAATATTTTTTTAACAAAATTTAAAAGGCTTAATTGCATCTTGGTTTTATCTAGGGTAAGTTGAGTGTGATTTTTACTTTTCAAATCTTTTATGAGTTAATTAAGTTTAATACTTTATTAATTTTCTTTATTCTTAGTCTTTACAAGGTGAATTGATTAAATTAATATTTATTTAAAATTAATTAATTAAAATATTAAATTTTACCAAAAATAAAAGAATTAAAATTTTTCTCTTTGATTTTAATATTTATATATTTTTTAAATTTTGCTCATTTAGTATTTAGTTGTTGTGTAGCACTTCTTTGAGCATTTCAAAAAAAAAAAAAAAAAACTCATCCCTGAACTCTTACGCGCACAATAAGAATTTTAATATTTATGTTTATATATGGTAGGGGTACCTGTTAAGTCGTATGAACGTTTTTCTTAAACTAAAATAAGAAACTAATGATTATGTGAACTTAATTATTTAGAGCAACAAAGTCAATTTAGAGATTCCGTGGATAATGCGGCTCAAGCTAGAGCTTCCATGCAAATTACTTGAAGAGAATTATCTAATAAATATTAGAGATTAAATTGCAGATCATACCAGGGACTGTTGTTTAATTTTTAAAAAATATCATTTACTTTTAATCTTTTTAACCATTTTTTCATTAGTTCAAAAATTAATTATATATATTTTTAGTCATAAAAAATGTTTTTTTATATCTAGATTCAATTTTGAAGTCAACTTCTGTATCAATTTCCAAAAGATGCTCTAGTCAACCACAAGACCCACCTTAAGCGCCGGCCTTTCGTTTTCGAGATAGAGGGATGCTTTCGAACAATAAATAAATAATAGTAGATAAATAAAACCACTAAAATAAGAATAATTTTTAATGAATAAAAATAAAATTTAAATACACGTAGATATTATTGATATTATTTATTAATTAAACTTAAAATTTTACTTTAATAATTTATGACAAGATTAATACACAAAATTAACACTTCACTTTCCTTCTTAAAATAACTATTCCAATCAAGTTCACAGACCATGGTCAATTGTGTAAAAGAAAATAATTTTTTAATTATTAAATTATTAATTTATATGATTGAGATTTGATGTGAATCTTTTAGACTTATGTCTAGTCTCAATGAATCATATTTCTTTTTTTATATATCTATAAATTTTGTTATAATATATATATATATATATATATATAATGTTTTTTATTTTATTTTATTCTAATCTGATTTTAACTTATTTAATTGTTGATATCGTAACTTTTTATATAAATGAAATTGTAGTTCATAATTAGAAATATCAATGATTATAAAATAATTTTTTTATAATTTTAAAGATTAAAGTTAATAAAATTATGAAAAAAATTCTCATTTAATTTAATTTAAAAAAATGTATTTGAGAGAGAAATTTGAAAAAAAGAAAAGAAAAGAGAATATAAATTCAATTTTAAATTAAAAATTATATATTATTTATAATAATAATAATAAATACATAATTAATATATTAAATTTATATTAATATATTAATTTTAAATATATTTTATTTTAAATATAAAATTTACCTTCCCTACTCCAAAACTTTCCATTCCAAAACAGGTGATGTGAGTATAATTCTCTTATTTTAATAAATCCTTTGTTGACTAAAATTGTATAGCACTCTTTATAGTAAAGATTGGCGGGTAACGCGAGTAAGCAAAATATTATTGCAGAGGGTAAGGTATTTTAGCTGACGAAAAAGCGCTTAGATATTTTTTAACATAGTTTTGAGTGTTCATCACTAAAATATTTTCTATTTTTTTATAATTCAATTTTTTTATTTTGATCAGTTATATTAATAAAAACAATGTATTTTCAACAAATAATATACTTCTATTTAATATAATGAATTTATTATTATTAACATGAAAATTCCATTCCTCTTTTAAATGTATTTTATTTATAAAATTTATTTAAATTTAAATTTATTTGTATAATGTATGAAAAATAGAGTAGTTTGTCAAAAAAAAAAAAGGAAGAAGAAAATGTATTAGTTGATCAATTACATAAACTAAACTGTCAATTAACAAAAAGAACAATACGAAGGCATGCATTTTTGTCGTCCTATTAATTCGTTGTAATTGTAAGTGTATTTATTTGTTGAGAAACAAAAAGGAGAACCAACGCGATAATTGATATTTGCTTGAAACAAGTATTTGTTTTCATTCTCTCAGAACTGTTTTTATTCCAAATGAACCCATGAGTTTTGGGTTTTGATGATAAACAGCTCTAGACCTCATAAAAAACGAGAAAGTGCAAGCTATCATGGGGCCAACAACAACAATGGAAGCAAACTTTGTGATCAATTTTGGAAACAAAACTCATGTGCCCATTGTAAGCGTTACAGCAACAAGCCCTTCTCTTACTTCACTTCAAAGTCCCTATTTTTTCCAAGTTGCACAAAATGATTCAGCTCAAGTAAAAGCCATTTGTGCAATTGTCCAAGCTTTTGGGTGGAAAGAAGTGGTGCCCATTTACGTAGACAATAGTTATGGTGAAGGGGTCATTCCTTGCTTAACCAATGTTCTTCAACAAGCCTACATCCGAGTTCCCTATCTAAGTGCCATTTCTCTTTCAGCCACAGATAAAGATATCACTGAAGAGCTCTATAACTTGATGGCAATGCAAACTAGAGTCTTTGTTGTGCACATGACACCAAGTCTTGGTTCTCGCCTCTTCACCATAGCAAGGGAGATTGGAATGATGGGACAAGGCTATGTTTGGATTGTAACCAATGGTATGACTAGTTTATTCAGCTCCCTAAACTCCTCAGTCATGGAATCAATGGAAGGTGTATTGGGTGTTAGGCCTTATATTCCAAGAACAAAACAGCTTGATGATTTTAAAGCTAGATGGAAAAGGAAATTTCTACAAGACTATCCAACTCTTTTTGACACAAATTTGAACGTTTTTGGAATATGGGCTTATGATGCTACCACAGCATTAGCAATGGCTGTTGAGAAGGTTGGAGCTGCCAACTTTGATTTTCATGCAAGCAATGCTTCAAGCAACCTTCTTGATCTTGGAAAGGTTGGCGTGGCACAAAATGGTGAGAAGCTGCGTGAAGCTCTCTCAAACACTAGATTCACCGGCCTTAGTGGTGATTTCAATGTGATTGGTGGGCATTTACAAGCATCAATATTTGAGATAATTAATGTGGTTGGTAATGGGGAAAGGAGGGTAGGATTTTGGATGCCACAAAAAGGGCTGCGTAGAAATTTGGATACAAAAGGCTCGAATATATATTCTACTTCTGAAAACAATCTTCGAAACATTATGTGGCCAGGGGATACTTACTTAATCCCAAAGGGATGGGAAATTCCTACAAAGGGGAAGAAGTTGAAAATAGGAGTACCAGTTAAACAAGGAGATGGTTACACTGAATTTGTGAAAATAAACCATGATCCTAAAACCAATGCCACTGAGGTCACTGGCTTTTGTATTGATGTATTTAAAGCTGCGCTAGAAGTGTTGCCTTATACACCCCCATATGAATTTATTCCATTTGCAAAGCCGAATGGTGAGATGGCAGGAACATATGATGATTTGGTCAACCAAGTTTATTATGGGGTAACACTCCTCTCCTAATCATTCATAATACCTTCATTATATATGTGCATTATTTACTTTCTTTAGTGATATGAAATGATAACATAAAGAGTGATTTTGGATTGACAGAAATATGATGCTGTGGTGGGGGATGTAACAATTATAGCAAACAGGTCCAACTACGTTGACTTCACATGGCCATACACAGAATCTGGCGTGACAATGGTTGTTCCAGTAAAAGACAATAGGAAGAAGAATGCATGGGCCTTTTTGAAGCCATTGACATGGGATCTTTGGGTAACAACGGCTTGTTCCTTTGTGTTCATTGGATTTGTTGTGTGGGTCCTTGAACACCGAATAAACAGCAGTTTTAGAGGGCCTCCTCCGCATCAGATTAGCACAAGCTTGTGGTTCTCCTTCTCAATCATGGTGTTTGGCCACGGTAAGTGCCACTCACCAATTTCCAAAAAAACATGTAAAAGTCACCACCACTAGCTAGGCCTTGGAGGTGGTGCCTTTAAAAACATTGCTCATCAAAAGATATGATCTTTATTCTTTGCTACATATTGTGTAGTTTACAGTGTTATATTTCCAATTTTCACAGGGGAGAAAGTGGTGAGCAACTTGGGCAGATTTGTGGTGATCATATGGGCTTTTGTGGTTCTAATTTTGGTTCAAAGTTACACTGCTAGCCTTACTTCTCTCTTAACCGTTGAACAACTAAGCCCAACTATTAGAGATGTCCATCAACTCATTAAGTATAGGATGAATGTTGGCTATATGAAGGGTTCTTTTGTTCGTGGAATCTTGAAGGAATTGGGTTTCCAAGATTCCCACCTCCAAGTTTATTATTCTCCCGAAGAATGCAATGAGCTTTTCACAAAAGGAATTGAAAATGGTGGCATTGCTGCTGCTTTTGATGAAGTTCCCTACGTGAAGCTATTTCTTGGAACTTACCCTTTCAAATATGCCATGGTTGAACCCAGATTTAGAACTGGGGGATTTGGTTTTGTAAGTTGTTTGGTCCCTATTTGTCAATTTATTCATTTGAATAACTAAAAATTGATACCGTATCATATATAATTAATTAGTTCTTTCATTTATTTTTTAAAATTTTTTTATATATACATGCATTCAAAAAATACACTAAAAAAACAAAAGGGACTACTTTATTATATAGCATTTCCCTTTTCTGCTAGTGAGTTAACTATTGTGGGGTGAATTCGCAGGTGTTCCCAAAGGGGTCCCCTCTTGTAGCTGAAATTTCAAGGGCAATCCTATATGTGACTCAAGGAGACAAAATGAACAGAATTGAGAATGCACGCAATCTAGTGTAATTTCCTCTAATAATAGTCTTGGCCTTGAAAGCTTCTGGGGTCTATTTCTCCTTGCAGGGATTGCTTCCTTATTAGCACTTCTAATCTTTGCAATCACATTTTTATATCAGCATAAACATGTCTGGTCAAGCCATTATCCAAGTGCTTCAATATGGAAACATATTGGAATCTTGTTAAGGATATTCGACCAAAAAGACTTGGAGAGTCACACGTTCAAGAAAAGTGAAATGGGAAATAGAAGTGAAATGAATAGTCCTCGTCATGGCATTGGTGCAATTGAGACCACCACAAGTTGTCATTGCCCAACAAGTCCTCTTAGTCAAATCGAATCAAACTTTTCCTTTAATGGAGAAAGAGGAATATCATTCCAGACCATGATGATGCTATTAACTATAGTTATGTTGTTCAAGATACAGAAAGGAGGGTCTGTTGGTTCTATTCCTTCAAACACGGTAAGGATACCGAGTTTGTTGTAAGTAATAACCGATAGAGTACCAAGAATATCATTCTCAAAAAGCAATTCAAATGTATTAATTAATATAACTTAATTGAGTTTATATACAATAAAATTGGTGAATAATTTTTATAAAATATTAAACAACAATTAAAATATGAAGCACTAAAGTAAAATATGGTAAAATTTAAATTAAAAAAACTGAGATTGAATTTCATCTATCTCTTCCTCTATATACTAGTAATCCAGTGACAAATATAGCAATCACTTCCAATGAATTTGATACAAAACACGAAAGAAATATATTTCAATTCCTTGAAAATATATTTCTAAGATAATTTTTTAAATTTTGATTCTTCAAACAGTTAATAAACTATCCAGCATTAAAACTAAGATTTAAAAGTAATCAACAACTTGGAATATATTCCTAGAACAACCAGTTATTGAGTAATCTCAATCAGATCTAGATCTATATAATATCTTCCCAACTACAACTCAACTCCAGAAACCGTCAAATAACTAGATTCAACAATTAAAACAGATTGAGATCACCAAATTAGTAAAAATGAAAAAGAAACAGCTATATTTATATAGATTACTGAAAATACATCAGGTTTAAAAATTTACATTCAATCTCATATAAGGTTTAGCTGCTCATGGCAACCATATCAACAAAAATGGGGATACAAAAGGGGTAAAACATAAAAAACTGAGTATTTCTACTCTCTTTCTTTGTCTTGCACCGTTCTGGACCTCTAGAAAATAGTTTTGAAACAGTAACCCCCTTCTAAACATAAAAGTTTGCCTTTTATACAGTTATGCTCGAGCTCCTCTATAGTAACAGTCCCTCGTTGTAGCGAGAAAAGGAGATAGAAATTAGGTCATTCTGTTTGCCTTTCGCTGCAGCTAAGATTCTCGCTACAGCGATCCAAAAGTATCTCGCTACAGCGAGTCATTCTCGCTGTAACGAGAAGAGCACAGAATCACTCTCTTCACAATAGCTTTTCTCGCTGCAGCGAGTGTGTCTCACTACAGCGAGAAACCTCCAGAAGTTAATTTTTTTGCAACTTCATGCTTCAATTACTGCTCATCTAACTTTTTCTAATCTTCTTCAATCTTAAGTGATGTTTCTTTTGTGATTACAGCTACAAAATAGATAAAAAAGAGCTTAAAACCATAAAATTGTATTTATTTCAAAAAATATATATGTATTTGTAAAAGTTTCAAATTTAAAGGAAATTTAACAAGATAATCCAACTTTTAACATAAAAAATATTTAAGTCACTATCTCAAATCACTTATTTTATACATTTATCAAGGTCATTACTCTACAATAGCTTCTGTAAATAATGCTTAATTTTTCTCCCTGGTGACATAGGAGACATCTAAAATGGGTCGCATGTTTTCAAGTCCAGATCTGCAAAATTGTAAGCTTTTCCAAGTCAACCTGTGAGCCGAAGCTCATATGTATACTCGGCTCTATAACTTTATTTCTTTAAGGATTCTTATAACCACTTTTAACTCAAAGGGTTGCACCCCTTATAGGCATCAGAAGCTAGTTAAGATGCTAAGCCCATGAAAAAAAATTTAAGGGTGATGCTAACTAAATAAACCTAACACATGCACATATAAGCATATACATGTACACACAAATACATACTGCTTGATTATGAACTATTTTTGGTGTGTTGTATAGTTTTTTCCCAGAGGTTCACCTCTAGTAACTGACATTTCTAGGGCAATCCTCAATGTGACACAAGGAGATAAAATCAAAATTATTGAGGATGCATGGTTCAGGAAAAACGATTGTCCACAGACCGATACTTCAATTTCTCCAGATAATCTAGGCCTTGATAGCTTCTGGGGCCTTTTCCTTATAGCATTCGTTGCTTCAGTTTCCTCTCTCTTCATCTAACACCTCAATATGGAAACGAATTGGTGTCATGCTGAAAATCTTTGACCAAAAAGACCCGAGTTCTCATGCTCTTAAAAAGAGAGAAGTGCAAGGTCAAAGTGAAATTAACAGCACTCATCATGCGGTGCAAAAATTGAGTTCTCCACAAGTACTTATTGCCCATCAAGTCCCTCACCATCTGGTCAAATGGAATCAAAGTTCTCGTTTAATGGAGATCACGGAATGTTTTTTGCATACCATGGTGATGTTAATCCATATGGCCATGAAGCTCATGACATGCAGATAACCATCATGCAAAATGTTCCATCTGCAAGAATTACGACTCCAGAAGTAGCTCCTCCATGCTGAGAAGATTCCCAACCCCTATACCAGTGATGTAGTGTGAAAAATTTGTAAACGTAAATCTCAAGAAAAGCAACAGTCAGTGGCATTAAGCTAACTGTAAATCCATTTAAATATGAATTCTAGTATTACTACTAATAATAAAAAGGTAAATTACGCTCACATCTTTAAGTTGATATTTAACAAAATTTTCCTTAATATTCCTTTTTTCACCTATATAAACTTCTCTTAATTTATAAAATAATATAATATCATATGCTATTTTTTTATTACACAAATCACCCTTATTTGTTAAACTTTAGAAGATGTGTATGTAACTTTTTCTAATTAATTATAATTGTACATTCTTTTTATTAGATTTTATAGTGCCTCCTTTATTTAAAATAATAATGATGATATTTTTATATCTCAGGAGATGGATATGGGTAAGGATGAGATAAGAAGTAAAGAAAAAAGAGAAAAAATGAATATGTGATTATGATAAAAATAAAATAAAATAAAATAAAAATAGATATAAACATAATGTAAAAAATGGGTATAAAAATATTATTTTTGAATCTATATTTCAAGTGATTAGGTATGAATTATGGATGAATTCAAATATTCTTCTACACAGTTAAAGTTGCTCATGAGTTTAAGGTAGTTTTTATTTGTCCAATATATTTATTATTGGGTGAATTATAATCACAGTTTGAGGCTTGATAAAATTTTATTTGATATTTTTTACTATATACAAATTTTTTTATTATGTAATAATATAATAGTATATACCTTTTTCATAACACGAATCACTCCTAACTTTTTATGTATTTATATAAATTAGAAGAGAACGAAATAATATTAAAAAAATATTAAGTGAATTTTATTAATCATCAAGACAGATAGATATAATTTATGTTTACTTATTATCATTCACTTTTTAGAACTCACGACAACTCTCAACACCTAAAAATTTTAATACTATTATTTAAATATTAAAATATCAATATCGTACGTATAAGATATTATATATAATTATTTTATCTTTTTATAAATATACTTTAAAATGCATCTCAAAATTAAATGCAAAGTGATACTTAATTATTTTTCAAAAATTACTTATTTTTTCAAATATTTTAGCATACAGGTAATTTTATTTTATTTTATTTTTTGCTAACAGCATACAGATACTTTAACACTATAAAACTTAATAGCAATATATTATATATATGTTTTGAATGGTAGACCCGTAAAGGGGGTTCCTCTCCTATAACTTGGTCCTAGAATGAAAACCAAAGAGTTGACCAGAGGATCCTACAAACTTCAATCTGAAGGTGTTTCTAGGTCAGCCACCAAAAAGGGTGACCATGGAGTACTTTCCTAATAATTGAAAATTATTAAGTTTTGAACAAAGAATATGCATATTCTGCATCAGTGTGACTATATCGATGTACGATTACTTTGAATGAAATTCAATTATTTGAAGTTTTGAACAAGACCGTGCTGCATGCTTGATTGTAAGTGCTCTTCTGATACAGTACGTATGACCTAGTGTTGGTTTCTGTCCTTGTCCTTGACCCCATTAGTAATAACATGGTGCATTCAATATTACTGAAAAATGTAATGTTCTCTCATGACTTTTGACCTATGGTATAGTTAAGGAAATTCACGGGTAAATCAATTAAAATAGATAAATTCAGTTTTATTTTATCATATTTTTTGTTAAACTCAAACCAAACTAACTCTATATAAAGCAAGTTAGTTTGGCTCAATTCATTAATTTTGTTATATATTATTTTTTGCCTTTTTTTGTCTATTAGTTTGTTATATTTAAAAAGTTAGAGACTTCCAGTTAATTAATTGATTTTTATATCCATCTTTTTACCAAAAATGATGTCACGTTTTGTAAATACGCAAAAATTAAATAAATTAAAAATGAGATTTTATTTGGTTGATTCGAATAATTATTTATATTTAATCGAACCACGTTGTATATTGCATACATGTAAAATAGAGAGAGATGAAATGCCTTGAGGGAAATACATTTACATTAATCCCAGGCTCTTAGCTACTAATTATTATTAGAAGATGGTCCAGCACTCCCTTTAGAAATGTTAAAAATTTTAGGGAGATGAAAAAGAATATTGTAGATCTATACAATTGAAGGTAGACACAAACGAATAGAGAAAACACGATTCATTCATTACAAAACTTTCCTAGGCTCATATATATTCTTTTATACAAGCAGAAATTTACAGGAATGTGTCACCTAAGATATTGTTCGAGACATTCTTTCAATCTTTGGAAAGTCACAGGTTTTGACACAAACGAGTCCATACCATTTGCAAAACACTCTTCAGCACTCTCTGACAAAGCATTTGCTGTCAGCTGCATCAATATGAGATACAAGACAATGATCATTTACTTCTCAAAGATTACATTTGTAGAAGAGAAACACTGTTCCAATACACGTCAGTTACTTGCTAACATATTTATTTAGTTTAGTGTGTTTCGTTTCGCGTTCAAGTGCACATGCATTTACATTTACTTCAACGCTTTTAGATGTAACATCTGTCTTAGATTCATGTTTAGAGATTTTTTAAAGTGTTTCTAGACACACACTGAATAGAGGGGAAAAACAAAGACTAATTACTCACCGCGACAATGGGGATCCGCTTTGGAGATGGTACATAACATTCATAATCTTGATCTGGTGCACTTTGCTCAATTCCAGCATTTCTTGCAGCATCCCAAGTGCCCATTTCCTCGAAAGATCGAATCAGTTTTGTTGCTTGAAGACCATTCATAACTGGCATGCAGACATCCTGTAAAGTGCAAGTGCAAATGATTAGTACAAGTATAAAAATAAAATGCATGTACTGGCCCAAAAATTGTAATCATTTACATCAATTAGCAGCACTGCTTGCAATTTTTAGCGCATTTTAATATATTCAAACTTTTCATTAACAGTGTAAAACCAGGTTCCCATTCTCAATCACAAGAAAAACTAAAGGTAGCATTTCCAATCAGCATGCAAGATAGTGAATTTTTTGCATTACCAATAGGACAATGGAAGATCCACAAAACTACAGGTTCTACACACATGAATGGTGTAACAAACATATCTTTGGAACTCTCTTGCATGCAGCACAATTGTGAAGAGATTAAATAGTATGTGAATTTTAGAAGAAAGCAACAATCAAGATAATTTCAGAACATGAACAGGCATTGATGCATAGAGCGAAAGTGTCGAAACATATATTCGGAGGTTGCAGAAATTACCATCAGAATCAGGTCATAATTGCGGCGTTGAACTGCACGTACTGCTTCCACTCCATTATTCACAACATCTATGCTATGACCTAACTGTTTCATCATTGATTGTGTCACCATGACATTAATCTTGTTATCTTCAACAAGAAGGATCCTAGGATTTAATGTGGATTTGGTTACTTCCAATGTTCCATTGCTCGTAAAGGATTGGCTAGCTGTATTTGCCTCCACTTGGCATGTTTGAAGGGGTTCACTTGTCTTCGTAGCTACATCCATTTCTCCATTTGCTACCACAGGTTCAGAAGATTCTGCACTACCATTCAGGGACCAAGCATGAGCCTTATCTTGATGCTGTTCAACTCTGCTGAATAAAGTTTCCTTCTTTGTTTCTGGGCTGTGACCAGATGAACTAGCCGATTCAGACATCTGTGGAGCATCAATCACTGAAGATGCATCATCAACTGAACATGTTCCTTTTGACATTATATCATTAGAGAGGAATGAGTATAAACTCTCTGAAAACCCACTAAGTTTATGTGAGCTTAAGTAGCCAATTTTGTGAGGTAATAACTTTTGTGTCCTGCTGGTTCCATTAGAGGAGAAAAGAGAGCCCAAGGTACGTGGCTGGAATTGGAAGAAACCCTCTATTGTACCATCACATGCAGCATCATTGTTCTCCACATCTGAGAGCTCATCAGGGTCATCAGAATTATCACAAGCGATTGAAACCTTGCATGGGAGTATGAAAGTGAAGGTAGAACCATGGTGCTCTTTGCTAGACACTGTTAGGCGACCCCCCATTAACTCAACCTATTCCAAGTGCAAAGATATGTTGTCAATTTAGGAATTTAATAAAACAAATGAAATATCAATTTCACCAAAAGATGAGAGGTAAAAAAAGTTACCAATTGTTTGCATATTGCTAGTCCAAGCCCTGTGCCACCATATTTTCGAGCATGGTCTGCACTGACTTGCATGTATCTTTTAAATAAAGTTGGTATAGCATTTTCTGTCACGTTATAACATGAAAAATATCCATCTGATGAAGACTTTCTCTTTAAGAAAAATCAATATCAAACTTGTGATTATAAAATAGAATTTTAAGACATAGAAGAATAGAGACTAGGCTTGTGATGAATAAAAGTTAAGGTTAACTAACTATGTACCTGGTATTCCAATGCCTGTGTCATATACATCACAACGTATCCAAACTGTTGTTTCAGCTGAATGAGGTTGCTCCTCAGTGTCTCCGTTCATTGAGCATTCGCTTTTAACCGGGGATCTACATTCATCATTGAATGCATGGTTTTGGCTAGGAAGTTCATCATGTTTTTGACCATCAAGTATATTTTGATCACTGCCACTTTGAGGTGTTGAGAGATACTTCTCTTCCTTCACTTCATCCACTGAAACAGTTGCTTTTGCAAAAGTTGGCTCTGGCACAACATAAAGGTTAATCCCAACCTTGCCTTCATGGGTAAACTTGATGGCATTGCTGCAAGATATTAGCAGAAGTGTAAAGCAACATAAATATATTCAATATAGAATTTTTCTTTTCCTATTATATTTCTAATATTATGCGCAAGTACAGAACAGAGCATTGAATAAATGGAAATTAGAAATTAGATTATGCCCATGACAAACAAAAATGAGAGTCATTCCAATCAAAGCTTGTTACCTGATTAAATTTGTGAGAATTTGTCGAATCCTTAAAACATCACCAATGACCTGCAATTTTGTTTGAAGCAGATGAAGTGCAAATTAGTTAGCACCAATCAGATGAAATGAAATCATGCTGTGTGTTTCAAAGTCAGCCCGAGTGACACATCATAACTTTTAGATTTATGCTGCTCACAGCCCCTAAGTAGAACTGGGGTGTATGTTGAATCAATGCCAAATAATTGACAGCATTGAACTGTCACACAAGTCCTCACCTCAATAGGTACACCATCTGCCACATGTCCTTCTAAAGTTAATATTTTCTGCAATGATGCTGCAGCTGTCTGGAGTACATGTTTCACCACTTCTCTTGGCCGGAATTTGGTAGTTTCCAACTTCATAACTCCTACAGAGAAAGGATTTTGGGTGGTGGGAAGAAATTCAAACATTAGCACCTATATTAAAGCACTTTTTTTGTATTAATTAAAAACTTCCATATTGCTCTCTAAATTATTAAAATTACTCTTATATATTTTTTTCAGATTTATATATCAACAATTCAACTATAAGACATGGAACATGGAAAGATTTCCAACCTGACTCAACCTTGGAAAGATCAAGTATGTCATTTATAAGTTGTAGAACCAAGTCTCCAGAAGATAGCATGACATCCAATAGCTGTCTTTGCTCCCGATCAAGTCTTGTGGTGGAAAGAATTTCAGCCATGCTAACAACCCCAGATAGTGGGGACCTTATCTCATGAGACATTGTTGCTAGCATTTGTTTTGCTCGCATAGTTTCCTCTATCAAAAGGAACAGAGAACATAATAAGATTTTTGTTGCTGCAAGTAAATTTGATAAAGGAAATTTGACTGAGTGATTGAATTTTGAACCTGTAATGTGAATGGTTTTATTCAGTTCTGTTTCCTTGGCTTTCTGAACAGCAATCTCTTCCCGAATCTTTGCCATCCTTTCTCTTTTTCTCACCTTCATTTTTCAAGAAATATAAATATCATCTTTGCATGCACAAGAATGCAAGTGCAAGTTCAAAATCAATAACAAATTAACAATTACCTGATCTGTTACATCCATTCCCATGTAGTTTATTCCAATTGTTTCCCCTGCCTTACTAAAGACAGGTTCTACATATATCAAGAATGTCTTTGACCCAAATAGTTCTGTCTCAAAAGTGATTTCCCTTTTTGCAGGCAATCCTTTTTCCAAAACTTCTCTCTTAAAATCTTGAGATTCCCTAACTCCAGATCCCGTGAATATTTCAACGTCAGTTTTTCCTATGATGTCCTGAAAAGGATGAATAAGTTGAAGAGTTAAGATATTTCACTTTCAGCATGCTTAAAACTCTTTTGTGAAAGAACTAAAAAAGAGGAAACAAATTTGTTCCCGAGTCTTCAGTACCTGTTGATAGAAAATCTTAGAATGAAATAAACTGATGCAACATTAATCACATAACCTTTCAACAAGAGCTTCAACAGCAATCATTACCTCCTCTTGTAAACTTGGAAAATGATTATAGATAAAGCGATAGCGCAGCTCTTTGTCCTGGAAGAAAAATATCAAAAGAATCAAGCACTTGCATTCCTTATTATAGCAAACAGAAGCCTAACATAAAGCAATCAAGTAGCCACTGGCTCCTACTTGCTCTTTACTACTTAGACTATTGAAATACTCAAAAGCAATCAACATCCCAGAACAATTTTAAGTCAAATAATATGCTATGTTTCATTCTATAAGTTATTTGAGATACAAAAATAAACTCAATATACTCACTGATATACCTGATGGCCAATAACAACAGGTGCATTTTGGAGTATAAAATGTAAGAAATTATCTGCCCTCTTCAGAATCTGGGAGAGTTCTTCCACAGGCGAGGACTGTCTCTCAATGTTTGTTATACTTTCATGTAACTTCTCTTCAAGTATTTGTTCTCTATGGACACTTGCTTCTAGCTGCTTTTCTAAATGAAGTGCTCGCTGTTTCCAATATATGACAGTATCATACTCAGCATCAATCTCAATTTTCTTGTTTTGAACCACAACATCACTTTTCCTAGACGGCACATCTTGCCATATATCATCATAAATATCATCCAATATAGAAACCGGGCGTTTATCACCTCCATATCTTTCTTCCTCGAATCGATGCTCTTCCAATATCTCCAATTTCCTAAGCTCAACATCCTGCCTTTGCTGGCTTAGGTTGTCAAGTTCTTCTCTTAGTAGGCGCGCGACATTGGCCTGCTTATACTCCCAGTGTTTCATAAGATATGCCAATTGAGAAGACCCCTTTTCTGTGAAATTTGTAAGCTCCATAAGACGCTTGAAATCAACTATAGTTGGCTCATCTATGATTGTAACCTCCTCCAACATATCTTGGTCTCTCCCAGGCTTTTCTATATTAAACTGCTTTCCAACATCAGTTCCAATATCCTCAGGCCACATTGAAGGGAGGACTTCAATGTCCATATCCTCTATGCAGTCATTCTCCATCTCACAGACCATGAAAGTACACTGATTACATCCAATCTTTTCTATACCATACGACTTTTGATTTCAATTTCATCATACTACAATAGCATCTCAAAAAGTACTGATTCAAGTTTTAACTGATAGAAGACAAAGCACTATGCCCTGCTGCAATATGTTAGACAGAAGATTAGTCTCGCATAATTGGAATAAAGATAGAACAATAGAATTAAGTTTACAATAAAGAGAAATTAAATTGAAATAAAAGGAATCAATATTAACTAACTCTAAGCTTAAAAAAAAGAATCATTTACATTTTGGCAAAGACAAATCCGATCTAAGAAGTCCCAACTAAGTAACTCCTAAATAGAATTCGAAGTAGCCAGGACTAGGAACTTGACCAAAAGTCACTAACCGAAGAAGTTCAAAGATAAATATCATAAGAGAAACATGATACATTATTTTCTGAAATTGGGAATTTTGTTTAACAGAACTTGAATGAAAAGCTTACAATCAAGCTCAACCCAGACGGATGAAAATTTCAGGCTGACCATGTCCTAAAGGCTTTCCCTGTAGATAGGATTTTGAGAAGAATCTCTTCCACTGTGAAGTTAAATGCATTACAAAATACTCAGCTTGATCACTAGAGAAGAAAGAAGCAGTTAGCGTATATATAGAGAGGACAACATGTGTTCATAAATATGTGAGGTATAAAGAAACAAACTTTAGTCAATTTTTTTGCAGAAAAAAGAAACCCAGGTAGGTAAGTGCATTAGGAGGTCAAAAATGATAAGAAATGTATTGGGATTTCTTTGTTTCTTTCCAGTGTCTTATTATGAGGCAACAACGTTATTGTTATTACCTGTTTTTTTATTTCCTCTCCAAAAGCAAAGTCTCAGGTGTTAATTAAACAATCATATAGAACTATATCTTATGATGTCGTTGCTCTCTCTCTCTCTCTCTCTCTCTCTCTCTCTCTCTAAAAAAGGGATTCAACCAATCATGAAATTGTAGAGAGAGAAAATGGATGTCGAATGGGACATGGGAGTTTTTTGAATTCAGAGGAAGCCATTGCTGTTCCCCGCCCTTTGGTGAGTGACGTAGGTGGTGCTAGTGTGGCGCGTGATTCCACGCTCCCCTTGGGCTTACCAAAGCAACTCACATGACAGATCCATGGTGATAACTGGTTTACTTCACCATGCATGAACTTAGACGTGTAACGATGAAGCGTGGATTCATAGCATAAACATTAAACGTGCTTCACTATTCATAATAATTTTTTTGGCCTCGTATTATCTCTCTTTTAAAATGATATAATTTTCTTTTCTTTTTTATCTTGTATATTTATTTTTAAAATAAAATTTATTTTAATTTATTTATACAATACATACTTAAAAAAACTAATTATGTGATTAATTAACTAATAATGAAACAAATTTATTACTTTAAGTATTATTGCTTTTATTCTCACGTTAAAAATTCCTTTTGTTTAGCATATTTACGTGTGTGTAGTAGTTTCCTTTAATTTTCTTCCAGCTTCGTCTTCTTGAATCATTGACTTAAAATTCATGGATAGAGTGGTTAAGCACAAGAATTGCTTAAATGGGTGGGATCTAATCATCCAAGATAATCATCGTTTTCGTACATGTCTTAATTATACGACAATTATATCAATGTCACGAATAAGCATTAGTTAAGAATCAATTAAAGGTTCAGTCTAAAAAGTTAATCATTGGCTTAATTTAATGAATAATGATCACTTATGGCTTAGACCAGGATTAAGGAATAGTTAGCATGTGTTGTCTATTTAAAAAATATATATTATATATGGAGAGCTAACAGCTCCTGAAGCATTGTGATTGCTTTGGACAGCATCCTTAATAAGCGGATTAGTTTATAAAGATTTTTTGTTTTTGGTTAACGTGACGCGTAAAGACCCTTTCAGCTTTCCTTGAGTGTTCTAGACGTTCTTATGCAGTGTATCATGTATATCTAGAGCAATAAATTAAATAAAAAATTTATATAAAGTAATCTTTAGTATTATAAATTTTAATTAATTTGTATTGTTTTAATTATTGAAATTATCAAACTCAGGATTGGAATTTTATTTTTATTTTATTTGTCATTTAAGATTATAGTAAACAGATTAAGAAAAATAATTAGCTTTTACTTATGCTAAACATTTTTATAATTTTTAATATATCATTTTTCTCTTTTTTATTTTTTTTATTTTTTTACAAGAGTGTAACTTATTTGTGTACTATTTTATAATTTTAAAATGACATAAAATAATAAATAAATCGAAGTATAATATGTGACAAACATGAAGTTATTGATTGTGCCAAAAAGAAAAAAGTGTTCACATTTTGAAGATGTCATGTAATATGACAAAATTTAAATATTTAAATAACAAAATTATTTAATAAAAACAACTAATAAATTGATTAAAATCTCATCAATTATTTTTCAGCTAAATGTTACCGTATTAATAGTGTTAATAGCAACAATAGTAATGATAACTATAAGGTATCTGTGGTGGTAAAGAGTTGTTGACAATAATAATAATAATAATAATAATAATAATGATAATAATAATAATAATGCATGTATTTGATTCACTCGTGCATGTATTGATTGGTTGAAGGGAAAAGTTGACAAATAGCTCTACATTATCCATTCAGCAATTTGCTCTTGTACTTTTTATTTGATGTAAATTGTAATACAATCAAAATACATGCACGAGTGTCTCATTGCCCTTAAATTGATTTTTGCATTCATTAAATGGTTCATGAATAATCATGCCTCGTTGGATACCAAGGAAGATCAATGAAAGTGTACACACGTGTATTTGTATAGTGATTAATTAAGATTTTAATTACACGTTAATATGCATATATTACATTAGTAATGACGATAGAATAGAATTTATGAAATTACATTTTTTGCCTTTTCTTTTCAAATAAAAAACCATTTATTATAAATATTTAATCAATAAAGATGAGGCTTTTGGTATATTTTATATAATCTTATTTTACTTAATTTTTACCATTAAATATCTAAATATAACCTGGGGCAAGAGCTAAATCTATGTGCAGAATATATGCTAGCTGTTTGGCATACCAAGTAAAATAAAATTTTCCCACCAACAAGTAAATTTATTGATAATCGAATTATTTAATAACACTGTCTTTAAACAATTGTGTGTGTGTTTTCATTTTTTCTGGTTCATAAACAATTGAGTTGACATGGTTACAATTTGCTGCTATTACAAATTACAATGAAGCCACATTCCCAACTCAATTCACAGAGACAGACAAAGTAATGCCAAAATAAGCAGAAGCACAATCCAGAAATCCCGGGCATTAAACATACATCATCATGTAATCTTTGGAAGCATTTGTGGCTCAAACAGCTTATTGACAAAATCAAAATATGTAAACTTGGCCCCATATTCTAAATTACTACAATTTCCTCTTAAAAGTGATATTCATAATTATACCACTGCTCATCATTTTGTCATTATGTAATCAAGTTGAATTCACCCATCCAATTTGTCTCCACATTTACTACGTCAAAAAATAAATCAATTACTTAACTATAATTTGAATTCATTGTTACCGATAAAACTAGTCACTTTCCAGTAATACATGTTTAATGTGCATAATAAGATTTTTTGAAAATATAATATAATTAAGTATTTAATAAGTGTATTATTTTAAGTGATGTTAAGGAGTATATATAACTAAGTTGCAAAAATATATAGAAGTTATAAGCTTTTTTTTTTTTTTTTAGATTATTCTTTTGACATAGTGACTTGTAAATCTCGATAGTTTATATAATATGTAATTTATCTTATTATTTTTTATTATAAATATTAAAAAATTATTTCATTTAAAAAACAACCTATATATATATATATGGTTAGCTACCTAACACCTAGATCGAGGGTTTATGTCAAATTAATAATAAGAATATTTTGGTGCCACAAAAATTGTTGGATATATATAGTGGAAAACACCACTCCGGTTTTTCCTTCTATGAACTAGAAAAATTCCCCTTATCCTAACCTTTGTGCCTGAAAACGCATATAATTGATTAGACTGATTTGTATCTATCGTTGTCAAGCTTATCAAAATGTTAATGTCATTGTCAGTTTTTTTTTTTTTTTTTATATTCTCTAAAAGGCCAATATATACAATATACGTATAGTAGCAGCAACTTGAGGCTAATGATTTCCCACATAAATGAACTTAATTAACCATGCTTTGAGTTTAATAACCTTCCAATTGGCTTTCTGAAAGAATCTAGATAGAGAGGAATTGAATTTTTTACATTAAATAACAAAAACTTATAAAATTAAAAATTTAATGCAAATAAAAATGAATAACATAAACATAATAAAATACTCTTTCTGATCTTTTTTATAAAAAATAAAAGATTAAATCATTAAAATTAAAGAAAGTAATTAAGTCAGTTATGTTTTTTATAAATATAAATTTTATTTTAAAAATATATATGATATTAAATAATATAATTAGTAATTTGTATATTTAATTATACTAATAAAAAAAATATAAAAAAATTTAATAATTAATGTATCTTAAATCTATCATTTATTTTTTATAATAAAAAAATTATTTTATTTTTTATAAAAAAGATCAAATAGAATAATATATAGATGATAATAAAGGAGCAATGTACACAATAAATTTATCTTAATTCAAATATAACGTGTAATTTACATGTAGTTCTCAAACATGTACTTGAGATTTTATTCATTTCACATGGAATGTCTTGCAAGAATCCAACTAATTAATCACTATTATTATTAATTTAAATAGAGTATACAAGACTATTGATCACTGTTAATCACATCTGGGCCATTGAGCCCAATAATCTCATATTTAGCCTCACAAAGTGTCCAATTAGCATGAAATATCAGGCTACTACAGTTTAAAAATAGGTACCCAAAACTTTTTTGCGTCTAATTTGGGTGGCTTTTCTGAATTTCAGATTTCTAATTTCAGGATAGGGCCTTTAGAAGTTAAGCTGGCCTTCAAGTTTCTAATTTTTGAAGCAATTCGAACAAAACTAACCTACTAAATTAGGTAGAGTGATTGAGAACCTGTTGTTTAATTAAAAGGTATAAATAATTTGAAAACATTATAAAAATGTGTGTCAATAATAGTTAAGGATTTTTAAATCTAGGAATAGAAAGAGAAAAGGACCTTATTATGAGCAAAAAGTTAAGAATTTAGTAATTTTGCTTTTGGATTTTGGTCTTTGAATTTTGCTAGGATGTGATACGGATCTAATGCGGGAATGGATTTTGAAATTTATTAATATAAATAAAATGAAATGTTTACATTAATTAAAATAAAAAATTTTACATTATCAATGAAATTATCAATTCATTGTTAGTATAAAAAAATTTACATGTTAATAATTAATTAAAATAAATCATAATTATTATAAGATTAAATAATTCTTATAAATATGATAATTCACGGTGACAATATAAGTATTTTTCACATTATCGATATATTTAGGTTACTTTTTTTTTAGTGCTTATCTTATAAAACAAGAAGATCTGATTAAGAAATATAGTAAAGCATGTGACAAAATTTTGACGTATTACTTTCCCATATCAATTCCTATATAATAAAAGTGTCGTCATAAACATTATTTTTAAATATTAGTTAAGAAAATAATAAATAATATTTTTTACGATTTTTCATGTTAAAAATATAAGACAACGTGTTAATAGAAAAAAAATATAAATTTTTAGTTACTTTTCAATAAAAATATAATGTTTCAATCAGCGTCGTAAACTATATTAAAATGAGTGAGTATTCATTTATTTTTTTAATTTATGAATATTATTACTTCAATACTTAATTTTATAAAAATATTTTTAATATTTGTTTAAAAATATTATTTTTTTATTACTGTATTATACATAAGGAATAAAAATAACTAAAATATACTACGTACCGAAGTAACAACTAATCATAAACTGACAAGTCATTGACAATCATTAATTTTTATAATAATTACTTTAAATTTATATCTATGATAATTTTTAATTAATTAATACTGTAAAATTTTTTATGATAACAGTGTATCAATACTAAAATAATTAACATTTATAATTAAAATAAGTTTTATGGTTTGATTCGCCCAGTACATAGATAATTTGGTGGTGAAGTTACCCTTATTTATTTTGTCTACGTTCGTAAACCATGTCAAGCTCATTTAATTCATATTTCATAACATCAATACTGTCGATGCTTAAATTTGAATATTTATTCTTAATATATATATATATATATTCAGTAACACATTTTTTACATTAAGTATATTATATTTTTATTGCCTCTTAGATTTACTTCAAAAATAACTTTTTTTCACCTACTATGCTTAATAATTTTTTATAAATAATTATTTTTTGTTAATTCAAACTCTTCAATGATTATAAAAATATATAAATTTTAAATTATTTAATATTTCATTAAATAATTTTATTTTAATATATAATATTTTTTAAATACAAATAAATGACTACTATAAAATTATATATTATAAATATTTAATTTGTTTACAAGTTTATTTGCATTTTTGTTGATATATATATACTATTTTACACGATTAAACAGTTAAATTGATAAAAATCAATGTCTATTAAAAAGATTAAAATAAAAAAATAAATAAGACTTGCTCCTAAAATAAGTAGACCCTTCTCTACTTTAAATATTATTATTACACAAAATTAATTTTAAAGACATGATATTACAATTGCATGACTTAATTTAATTAATTTCCCCTTTAATTTATGTTCATTTAATAATTAAAATATTTTTATTAACAGTAAAGAATTTATTATTGTATATTTTCTTAAATTATGTTATTTGACCTTTATTGAAAACATTTGTATGTTTTACTTGTATTTTATATTTTTACTGGAAACTTACTAATATGTTTACAAGCAGTAAAATAAATACACTTCAAATAGTAGTGCGCGAAAAGAAAACAAGGATCTTGTTTATTTAAAAAAAATGGTTTTGATTTTAATTATAAAAACAACAAACTGTTTTTTGTATTTTAAAAAATATGTTAAAAATCAGTGTTTTTTTAATTATTTCATGTACAAATTTTTTAAAATTAAAACAATGTAAATTTTTATAGTTAAAAGGAAAAAAGTTCAAAACAAACAAGTCCTGGATTACCACCTAAATCTCATACAAGAAAAATGATTGATGCAAAATCTTAAGTCAAGTTTGTTGTGCATTAATAAAGTATAAATTGACCGATGTTACTCTATATATATATATATATATATATATATATATATATATAGGTATTTAGACTTAAGGTTATTAAATTAAATAATATAAGTTAATGTGTAATTTATATCAGTATAAATATTTGTTTACCCATACACCGAAGTAAGAAATATGTTCAGTGAACAATTATTTTTAAATGTTGGAATCATAATAATAAGTATGTCCTATATAATTATAACAAATATTTAAAGATTAATTAAAGTTTAATGATAAGTTTAAAAGTTAAGTGGTTGTTTAAAAGTAATAATAATTATCATATTGTAATCTTGATATGTATCGCATTTTTTTATTATTTATAATAAAATTAATATAATTACACATATACAATAAAAGTGTTAAATAAAAGGTTTTTTTTAATATTGATAATAAGATAGACAAAACTTAACTGTTAGAAGCAACAATAAAATATTAAAATTAAAACATTAAGTCATTTGGAATATTAAAAAAATTATATAATAATATTTTTAAAAAATTTTAATCATATTATTCGATCAAATTTTACTAAATTAAACTACTGTATATTCATATTAAAAAAACTACTATGTGTGTCACGTTTTGAAAACTGAAAATATTTACTTGTTTATTCATTATGTTTTTAAAACAAGACTCACTCAACCCGAAATGTTTAGTGCGGATATTTATGACTGGTCATGTCGCATTGCTCCAACCCATCTTTAAGTTATTTTTCATGAAATTAAACTTAATATATTTTAAGAACAAATTTATATTATACTTTAAATCGTCTCAATTCAATCAATTATTATATATTTTTAAAAAATTGTATTTTTAACAACTATATATTAACAATAATTTTTAAAAAATTTATACATAATATTTTACTTAATATAATGTTATATTTATATAAGTATTTTTTATTTTAAATGATATAATCTTGATATATTAAATTTATGAATCAGAATTCTCTTTCATTTTAACGTGAATAATTTTTTTTTTACTGCACCATCTAATTCACGTTAAAATGAAAGAGAATTCTAACAAGTAAAAGTGGAAAATACACTGAATAAATCATCTATTACCATCAATTAAATAAACTACATCATAAGTATATTAATTAATAACATTTTTATTGACATAACAACTCACAATTGAATAACAGGTCATCTCAACACTAGAGAGTTAAATTAATGTAAATTAAGATAAACATGTCTACTAAATATCCGTAATATTAAAATGAAGATTGGATCGAAAAAACAAGTCCAACATTAAACAGTCCCAAGATATCAACTCCATAAATAAAATCCTTACCAGTCACCAACCCTGCAAGATTATATATAAAGTAGTTGGAGAGTGAGGTTTGCTTTAGTACATTATTAATTATTTCCTCTTCAGTCAACCGAGAAATGCATTAGCTCATTGAAATTTCCCCAAAACCATACCTGCTATTTCAATTTTAGATAATCTCTGTGTCATCCTCACCACCCACCTCATTATTATGAGATTGTAAATTTCAGCTCAAAATTCTACCATTTTGAAATAATTGTCTTTTTTTTTTCATTTAGAAACTGACAATTTAGATTCAGTTTGGCACGCGAAGAAAATATAATCACCAACTTGTCTTGTGAATTGTACTTTCTATTTTATTTATAAAAATTAAGATCAAAGTCTACATCTTTTAATATTGAAAGAGTTTAATAATATAAATATTTAGAAGATTGAATTTGTATTAAGTAACTTTTAAAAACAGAAAAATATTAAAAATTATTTGTATATAATAATTTAAAAAAACTCTCATATGGACTTTTATCAGGGATAGAAATGAAATTGTTTATATAAAGATTATTCAAATGTAAATAAATAGTGATATTCCAGTAAATATTTATTATTAAAACTTTCCACGGTTATTTGATCACTATATTAGTTTCTTATATATTATATTTTAATTTATTGTTACTTTTCATTTTAAATTTAGTTATAGTGTAATGTTGTTATAAATATTTGTAGACTATATTTTATGAAAAAGTATAAGATTAATTTAAAAAAGATGAAAGTGAGGAAATAATACGAGAAGAGCATTCGGGAAGCGTGAATAACGATAAATTCACAATCACAAGCAAACGCAAGAGACTCACGTGGACACATTCCGTAAAGCATTCTTTGGAGTTGGAATATCTTCCTTTCCTCTTTCTTTTCATTAGCTCACGACAACTCTACACCTCTCTCGAACAAGCTATTGATAAAATAAAAACACAAAATCTAAATTCATATCTATTATATCCTGACATTTTAACATTATCAATGTTAAAAATATATATATTTTATCTCTTAAATAGATATGTTACCTCGTGTTTTTAACGATATTTTTTTAAATTATAATTTATCTCAATAATTAACGTAATAAATAAATATTAATATTAATTTGTAAGATGAAGTTTAAATCAGGCTATAAATAACAGTTAAGACAGTGCGGGTAAGTTTTATACAATTGAGAATAGAATTATAAAACGAGAAAGTACAGTGATTGCATTGAACAAAATGTGTTTCGAAAAGGGAAAGAAATATTGAAAGGGCAGGGAAAACAGAAAACCGCAGAGAACGTTACAACGACATAAAAGGCCAAGAAATCAAGGTTACACACCTCTCTCTCTCTTTCTCTCTCTCTAAAGAATCAAATGCTCAAACATTTTTTGTATCGAAACTCTGCTTCCTAATCAAAGTTGTTCTGTTTCTGAAAACTAACAAGAAAAGGGGAAAAAAGCGAAATTAAGAGGTGTCTCTGTCACAGTGATACTGATAGAGAAAGCAACACAGCGAGAATGATGATAAAGGATTCAAAAACGGAAAGAAAAAACCCTAATCCGGTGTTTGTGGTGTTGGCAGAGCAGTGATGTGAAGGAAGGAATGGATGAAAAGCCCTAAGGATCGGGGAAACGATAATCTTAGATGCTTGTCTCTGGAGTATCATGGGATCTGAAATGGCTCTTGCAATTCGTATTCTCAGCTTTTGTGATGGCGATTGGGTTGCACACGTTGGTAAAGAACACCGCATCCAAGTACTTTGAGGTTGACGCCAATTTTGAAGGGGAACAACACCACGCCATGCCTGGCCTTATCATGGATGATTCTCTTTGCGCCGTTTGTCGCAACCATGGCAATAAAAAGTGTTCGCGTTGCAAATCCGTTCGATACTGGTTTTTTTCTTTTCTTTCTTTCTTTTTGGCATTAAAGAAAAACAGTTATTTGATAAACGTTACTGATATTTGCTTGATTCGTGTTACGCATCCCAGTAATAATGAGTTATAACGCTTGATTGGCTTTCCTTGTCGGTTTTTTTTTAGATAATCTCGAGCTGTAAATTCAACGTTGACCGAGCAAGTTGACCGACTAATATTTTAGTTAATCTTGAGTTCTTGTATTTATTATGTTCATATATATTTTTTGTAGATATATTTGAAAAAAAACTGACTTTGGCTTGGCTTTGTTGGTTTTTCAGTTCACAAGCATGCCAACAGGCACACTGGAAATCTGAGCATAAGATGAAATGCAAGGAGCTGCAGAGCACAAGTGCAATGAATTTGGCTCAAACTGGGCCAATTAATCGTGGGTTCAGAGCTTCTGCACCTGTGAATAGAAGTACATCTTCTATTGCCCTGATCCCTGAATGTGGTAGTGGAACGTCTAGGCCTATAAAGCAGCCTAAAAATGTGAGTATTATTATTATTATTATATTGATAATTGGAAAATGTGTTTTGACTGAATCCTATGGCTAGTGGGATAAGGCTTTGTTATTGTTGATAAATATACTGATAAGATTACATGATACATTCTTTACCTGGTTGAGTCTTTATAATTTATTTTATGTTTCAGTGTGCTAACATTATAGTTTTTGTTTTCCAGGATCTTTTTCCTTACAATGAATTTGTTAATTTTTTTAACTGGGACAAGCCAGGATTTCCTCCTTGTGGACTCTTAAATTGTGGAAACAGGTTTGCCTTTTATTACTTGCTACTATTGATAGACTGCACTGAGAGAACTGTGGTGGAGTTTTAAATGTACATTGCAAATCTGTGCAGCTGCTTTGCAAACGTGGTTCTTCAATGTCTCTCATTCACAAGGCCTCTTATTGCCTACTTGTTAGAGAAGGGGCACCGTAGAGAATGTAATGTCATAAGTTACACTTTTTAATTCTTGCTGGATCTTGATTATTCCTCATACTTATGTTGGTTAGATGTGGCTTTCCAGGCTGTCATAATGATTGGTGCTTTCTGTGTGAATTTGAAATCCATGTTGAAAAGGCGAGGATAGGTTCTCAGGCATTTTCTCCGATGAATATCCTCTCTCGTTTACCTAATATTGGTGGTACACTGGGTTATGGAAGACAAGAGGATGCTCACGAGTTCATGAGGTTTCTTTGTTCCTGAAGCAATTTATTTGACTTTCCATAGTGAATTGGGCATTGACTATTTAGAAGGGTGCCTATCTTAGCTTTAATTTGGTATTGACACTAAAGTTCCCCCCCCACACCATTTTAATGCTTTGTAGGTTTGCCATTGATGCTATGCAATCTGTTTGTCTTGATGAATTTGGTGGGGAAAAAGCTGTCCTTCCTAAGCATCAAGAAACAACTCTTATCCAACACATTTTTGGTGGCCACCTTCAATCTGAGGTGAGACATCTAATCAGATTTAAATCAAAGTTTTCTGGTTTGAATATAGATACCTTTTTTACTGTGTCATTTTGAGCATAATAATGAAACTATAAAGACATAATGATATTGTTAGCAACTTAGCATGAAATGACTGGATGATGCTTGCTGCATTTGCTTTTCAAATTTCATGAACTGAAGAATTTAGTCTATCCCTAAGAATAATGATTTAGAACTCTGTTTCTTTAGTCAAGTTGGAAAACGACAGTCTGTGTAGGTTAAATTTTGTTGTGCTCTTCTGATGAAGACAAACCTTTTTTTTAGCCTCTGTATAATGTGCTCAACTTAACTTGTAACGTGGAATTGGTCAATCATAGTGAGTGGAAAAAGCTGAACTGTGACTGAAGAATAGTTTTCTGCTTTCTGGATAGATTCTGGTCATTGTTAGATTCAAGTTGTCATGTGATTTTCTTCTTGTGCATTCCAAGTTATGATTTCCACAAGGATTAGTCTTTTGCGTGTTGGACTTTTTGAATCTTTGAAGCCTTATTTGTTGAGTGATTATCAATTTCTACCTTTTGTGTTATTTGCTTCTGACATGGTTACATTCTTCTTGCTTCTGAAAAAAAATAGGTGATTTGCACTGAATGTGAAAAAAATTCAAATCAATATGAAAATATGATGGACTTGACTGTGGAAATCCATGGAGACGCTGCTTCCTTGGAGGAATGTCTAGACCAATTTACTGCCAAGGAATGGCTTCATGGGGAAAATATGTATAAATGTGATGGGTAAGGTTGCTTGGAAAAATATGTATAAATATTGTAAATTAATTATTGAAATGCATACAGAAATTAACATCTATATTAGAATATTAATATGTAGTCAGCCATATTGGTGTTCATTAGGTTAGAAAATGATTTATTGATTACTAGGCATGAGATTAGTTTTTAATCTGCTGAGAACATACTTTAATTGATTATCAATCAATCAATATATACCAGAACAATTGTGTGGCATAACCACAACTTCTCTCACTAATTTATTCTTTTAATAGTCATTTTTTTAATTGAAAAAAATCCTTAAAATTAAGTTAACAGCTGAATGTGTCTTGATTATACCAGATTCTCAGTAAAAATTTATTTCCTATTTAAATGTATCATATTATGAATTTATTTATTTATTTTCATTTTGGTGTGTTTTCTGATGACCAGACACTAAATTTTGACAATGATTTATAAGTAGGGAACTTGTAAGGTGAAAAATTGGCTATATCATGAAATATATAATTCAGGTGTTTGGATTCGATAATGTGCTTTTGCTGTCAGACTGGTCCTGTCTTAACCAAGTTTTGTTGCTGTTAGCAGGTGCAAGGGTTATGTTAAGGCATGGAAACGTCTCACTGTGAAACGAGCTCCAAATATTCTTACAATTGCCTTGAAAAGATTTCAGGTCTTAATAATTTAATCTAGTTGGTCTTGCTGAGTTGTTGAGCGATGCTTTAAGTAATATAAATATCAGTTATGATGATTTGTTGTAATTTCTCCTCTCAAAATGTGCTATGTGATGTAAATTGTAAGGATGTTAGTTTACTATGACTACGCAGCAAAGCATGCTTTGCTAGTACATTATTTCTTTTTCCTACTGGTACATAAAGGCTTGAAGACTTGGATGTTTCTTGAATTTGTCTAATTTTCTCATCATTTGTTTTCTGCTGTGTTGTAAACATGCAGAGTGGGAGGTTTGGAAAACTTAACAAGAGAGTAACCTTCCCTGAGACTTTGGATCTTAACCCTTACATGAGTGAAATTGGAGATGGATCAGATATTTATAAGCTATATGCTGTTGTAGTACATATTGATATGCTGAATGCTTCATTTTTTGGTCATTACATCTGCTACATCAAGGATTTCTGTGGAAACTGGTACAGAATTGATGATTGGAAGGTAAGTTTCATTGTGTTGCCATGCAGCTTTGAACATTTTTTTTTGGTTTACTGAACTTTATGATGTGCTTGAAATTTAAATTTCCTTATCTGGGCTGCATTATATTTCTCAGGTTACGAGAGTGGAATTGGAAGAGGTGCTTTCTCAGGGTGCATATATGCTGTTGTATAGCAGGTATTCTTGTGATCATGTGTTGAGGAGCCTACAGTTCTCTTTTTCAGACAATATTATTTCAATGATACATGTGCTCATCTATCTTTCATGTGGTGCTGCCTAAATGATAGGATACCCTTGGAACTTTAGCTAACCCGATTTTGTCATTTTAATTTTCTTTTCAACGTAATTTCTGTTTTGGGTGCTTAAGTTTATTCTTTATGTTCAATGAAATTATGTTGATCTTGGATATTTTTGAGTGAAAAGCCAAATTCTAGTCGTTTGGCCAAATAGCTGGTTCTGTCACACTGGCCAACCTTCTTGTATGTATGACCAAGAGAAGAGTAAATTCTGTTTTGTTAGTATTAGACTTGGGCCTTGTTTGTATATCCTATGCTTATGAAAATAGTTTATGATTCTAATGAGCTCTTTTCAGCTTATTCCTAGAAGTTTTATGATCAAATATATGGTATAAGCTCACAGTTAATTAAGCAAGTGCTTAATTAAACTGTTTTTCAAATGCATCCTTAATTTTTCAGTGCACTTTGTCATAGCCATGTTTGTTTTACTTTTTACATGAGAAAGGCCCCCATGCTTTGGTGATGTATCCAGTTTTAATTAGTTTACCTACATGATTTGAGATTGTGTTTAATTTTGCAATCTCATGTGGGGCAGGTGCATCTTTTATGGACAATAGTTTGTGTCAAATTCTTTTATGGAAGTAGTGGACATATATGACTTTATTTGCTCCTGTGTAGGGTTAGTGCTCGACCATCAGGCCTTCAAATTTTTGAATCTTCAGAGACAGCAGAAGCACAAACAGTCAAGGTGGACGTGCAACCTGGCCTAGATGAACAAGCTGAATGCCTCTCGGATATGCAGACCGTAACTTCTAGTAGAGGCTGTGAGGTTTTTCAATCTCACAACAGTCCAGAGTTGAAGGTTTCTGTTTGTGAAAACATGACTTTGACCGGAATGAACTCTGGAGTTAAAAGAGGGCATACTAAGGACGTGGATGTTATTGATGTTGCAAATGAGACTTCCTGCAGTGCTGTTGAATCATCTTCAATGCATAGTTCTGAAGCTGTGAAAGATTTGGTGGATATAAATATGGAGAGATCAAATCTATGCTCACCTGTTTTAGAACAGATTTCAGGCTTCATGGAAGTTCAAAATGATATGGCTAAGTCTGATCCTTCTCCATGTTTGCCAAATGGTTTTTCTTGCTTTGATAAGGATTCTGCTGCTCCAGGGGATTATCAAAACAAGCGGGAAGAGTCAGAACATGTAGATGTGATTAAATGCACTGGCAATGCAAATTATAGCAATGGATATGCCAGTGCAAACAACCATGATGTCCTAGTGGAAGATGGTGATGCAGTATCTTCTGGCATTGGTTCTTTTTCCACAGAAACATCCTCGGCTGAAATGCATCAATTGAAGCGGAGATTGTCATCCTACAGTTCTGAAGCTGACGGAGGAAATGATGTTAAGAAAATGGAAATATCAGGCAACAAGTTAGTAATTTAGGCGAGCTATTTTTGTTGTTTGTTCATATCAATTTGATCATCCCATCATCGGAAAGAGGTGGTGAGTTGGGAAATTTTTATCTGAGGTTTCATTATTTGCTGGAACCTTGGATCTTATTGTAACATTTCTAGGTGGATTCTCTAATTTGATTATAGTGAGAAAATAACTCCTTACTCCTTATTTCTCTCAACTCATGATACCTAAAGAAAGCAAAATTTTTGTGATGTGCCCTTTAAATTTTCTTTGCAATTTGTGCCCCCAGTCTAATTTTAGTTACACTTTTTAATTTTACAAAATTTACTTTTTTTTTTTGGATAGATGAAATATGTCATATTTGAGTGTTGGGTTTAACGTAAACAAACCATACAATGGTAATAAGCTATTATGCATGAGTTTCTTAAACACATGCTTTCTTTCTTTTAAATTTTTGACGTCGCTAGTATATTTTTCGTATATTAACTGGATATTTTTACGTAGAATGTAGAAATATTAGAAGAAAAAGATAACTTATAAGATAAATGCACATTATTAATTCAAATAAATAATAAGAAATTTACAGGTAACTGAGATTTAAGGAAACAAAGTAAATTTTAAAATATTTGAAAGTGTAAATAATTATTTATGACAAAAATTAATATGCAAGAAAATTTTAAAAGTGATACTAATGCTAAAGAAAAATGGGAATGTAAGTATTAGTTTTAAAATTTTATAAAATAAGAATGTGTTAAATAATGATGATGTCACATGTTACAAAAAATATAAAATTAAAAAATTTCACTTTTCAGATTTTATTAAAAGATAAAATGAAATTCCAAACAATCTTACTGTTGATTTTAGAAAAATAATTCAAATTGTGCATTTTATATTTTTAAAGTATCAAAAGTTCATTATAGAAATTTTACATTATCAAAAGTCCAAACAATCTTACTATTGAGAATTGCATAGAAAGAGAGTTTCTAAAATATTTGTTCATATTGAAATAAGTTTAAGGTAAATTATATCAATTTTTAAGGGAGAGAGAAGTTTAATTTTTAAAATTAAAGAAAAGCCGTTAACATTATTAGAGGAATTTACCTTATTTTTTATAATGAACGTTTGAAGTCTATGAGATATAAAAGCCAATTAAAGGCCATAAAAAAGAGTTAACTAATAAATATTTGAGAATTATTGGGATTACCTGCACTTCCGGCAGAAAATAACGAATAGCTGATTAATAAATATCTTTTTTGTTACATCAGAAGATAATTTGCAAAATCTAAAACGGAGATAAGACACTCTACTTTTATTTCAGTTTACTTCGAAAAAGACAATTTATTTCAATTCTGCGGGATATTGAAAAAGACTAATGACTGAAATATGTTTCTGATTTTGAGAAGCCTTCTTTTTATCAATTTATTACCATATATATCTATTTGATGGTATTTTTTTTTTATTTCACAGTTAAAAAAAATGACCCCAAAGATTTTAGAAGAGACAATTCTTTTTATCTATGTAATGTTCTCTTCTACATTCATTTAAACTTAAATTTTAAAAAATGTTTTAGGGGTAAAAATGAAAGGAGGCAAAAGCTTTGACAAATGAGGTTGCATCATGTGCGGAATCGAGACCAGTGCATGCTCAAAGCATCTGCTTCTGCTCAAAGCACACAAGGTGAAGCAAAAGGAAATAATATTTTAATTAATGGCTTTAATCTTTCCATATTTTCACACCACTAATTCATTTTAATTTAATATAATATAATCCAAACTTGTGACATTATATATATATATATATATATATATATATTAACTTCAACTTTTAGAATTTAAATTATCAATAATACTTTATTTAAGTTGAAATTTTAAAGATTGAAATTAATATTTTTATAACAAAATTGATATAAAAAAATGGTTGGGCCGTGAAGGTGGGGCTTGGAAGAATGAGCATTGACTTGTGGGGGAGTAGCATAGCTGCATAGTAGGCTCTGTGGGATGAGAGGGAAAAGAAGACAAAGATTGGGATAACGAGGAAGCAGAAACAGAGGTTTGGTTTGGTTGCTTTTTCCATTGCTTTGGGAGCCAAAAACCCACCACCTTTGACAATTGAAACTGCCTCCTCCTTTCTCTTTCTTTTATGCATTACCCGATTAAAGCAATGCCATTCCCACCATTTTTATTGTCATGTCATCTGTGCACTCTACTCACTGCTTCCATTTCCAATTCCAACTCCCCAATCCTAAGCCTAAGCCTTATAAGATTCCTTTCAGAGTAGAGTCAACCACTCCCTTCTCAGACACACTCTTATCTACACATCCAAACTTCTTTTAATTATAATAAAGAGATTATAAAAACGTGAGATACAATTACTAATGTGATAAACATATTTTACATAACGTTATTTCAGAAATTTTAGTAGGCTAAAATTTCGTTTTTTTATTTGAATTTTTAAAAAATTTCCGCATGACGTTTATTGTAGTAATTTCATTAATTTCTTGGGACAAAATGTTCATATATAATATTTAACTTAATTTATATAATATGAATGATAAAAATATGAAAGATTTAATGCTATTAATAAGTAATGTCCTGAATAAATTACACAAGTTAACTTGAATATTACGCGAATAAATAATAGAATAAGTAAACAAATTGTTAAAATAAAAATAAGTTAAAAACTAATTTTTAGAACCTTAATTAAAAAAATTAAAACATTCCACGGTTTTTAAAGATCTAAAATTTTATTTAAAACTAAAAATTTAATGTAAAAATAGATAATTTCTCTCTCTCTCTCTCTCTGTGTGCTGTATATATATATATATATACACACAGATACATAGGTTTGTCACATTTGACATGTGTATGAGCCGTGTCTTCCCTATCTGACGACGGTGTCAAAGTGCAAACCATCCGAATCGAACTCCAACGAACGAAGCTTCCTACCTTACTTTCCCTTTTTCGTATTTGCTGCTACTTCTCTTCATCTCTTCCATTCAACTCTTTCTCTCTCTGTTCTCTTCCTGATAATCTCTTATCCACTTTCACTACTAACAGGTACCATTTATTTCTTTCTTCATTCTTTTATTTATGGTATGAGGGTCTTTTAACAGGTTCCCAACTTTGCAATTTTTTGTTGAGAAGCTGAAGAATAGTGATGTTGTTGAGAAATTAGTTATCAGGGAAGGAGAAAGAGTGTGGTTCTTTCTAGAGTAGGAACAAAGGGTTGTGATATAATTAATATTCTTATTTTTTTTACCTCAGTTCCTTTTAGATATTCTATATTTGGTTCAATTTGGAACTCTCCATTCACTTTTATTGGCCATATATAGGCTTTTACAGTGGAAAAGTTTTTTGCTTGATAACATATTCCTTTGTTGTGCTGCAGTTTTTTTTGTTATTCTTTGTCAATGGAATGTAACGATCGGCATAGTCAAAGTGTAAGCTTGAAGAGAAAGTCACCAGAAAATAGAGATCATATACTCTTCAACAGTTTTTCTATGGATGACCTTAATCAAGATCTCTTTGAAAGGGTGCTTTCATGGTTACCAACTTCCACATTCTTTCGCCTAACTTCTGTGTGCAAAAGATGGAAATCAGTTGCTGCTTCTGCTAGTTTCAAGCTTGCTTGCTCTCACATTCCTTCAAGGGATCCTTGGTTTTTTATGGTTGCTCCCAACCTCAACCAATCTGTTATTTTTGACTCTGCTGAAGGTACTTGGAAAAGGCTAAATCACCCACCTTTTCTGCAAGAAGAATGTAACCATAGTTGCATGCCAGTTGCAGCTTCTGGGGGCTTGATTTGCTACCAAAAATTATCAGGAAACTTCATTGTAAGCAATCCTGTGACAGGATCTTGTCGACAACTCCCTCCACTGCATTTTACCTCAGAACATCAACCTCTCAATGCCATTGTGATGAGCACAACTTCCAAAGACCAATTCTCCTTCAAAGTTGTCCTAGTTGTTGGTGAACTTCCAAATCTCTTGTTTAAGGTCTACAATTCAAGTTCTGGCTGTTGGGAAGGTGAGATTGCACTGAGGAGAAAGGTTGAAGACCGTAATTCAGTGGAATATGATTCAACTGATGACAATGTTGTGTACTTCCTCAGCAAGGCTGGAATTGTGGTGGCAAGTAACATGCAGAGAAGCCCATCTAAGCAATATTCATCAGTTATCACTGACAAAGATGGTCAAGAGATTGTGTATTTTGTTAGCTCCTCAGGGAAAGTTGTTGCTTGCAATTTGACATGCAAGTGCTTCTTCGAGTATCCCAGGTTGTTGCCTGTTTTTAGTGAGTATTCCATTGATGTTGTGGAGTGTAATGGGGAGATGCTTGTTGTTTTGTTATCAGAATTCTTGGAAACTGCAAGTCTTAGGGTATGGAAATATGATGAGGCTAATAGATGTTGGCATCAGATTGCAGCAATGCCTGTAGCAAATTCTCATGAGTGGTATGGAAAGAAAGCAGATATTAACTGTGTTGGAGCTGGTAACCATATCTTTATATGTTTGAACTCCTCTGAGCTATGTACTTATATTATGTGTGATTTGGAGACCAACAAATGGGTTGAATTGCCAAACTGTTGCATAAATGGCCAAGTCATGGACTTCATGTCTGCCTTTTCATTTGAGCCTAGGATAGAGGCTTCTGTGTGATAGTAATCTTGACTTTGATTAACATATTTTTTCTGTTCCCTTGATACAATGTTCCTTTCATTTGTAGTTGTACTTGAAATGTTAGAGGAATAGGTAGCTAGTGGAAGAGATGGAAACTACTAACCAAGTGAATGATTGCTAACTAATATATATTATTATTTTGTTCATTGATTGTAAGGCTTACACTGTTTTCAGCGAGTATTGTTATCAAAGAATGACCTTATTGATGATTTTTTTTTTTCTTGAGGAGTATATTTCTTGTTTTTACCTCTGATGTGAGACATATTTTAGTGGGTGAAATTGACGGATACATGTTTCATGAAGGAAAACAACTAGTTCTAGTAGTAAGCTTGTTTCCCTTTCATATGTTAGTAGACATCCTTTGATTATTTGAAACTTTTAAGGTTATTCTAGATGACAATGGAACATTATAGTAGTTGCAATCAGCATGAATCAAATTAACTACGTTGACTAAAATCTGTAGACTAAAATAAAATTGCTAATGCATCGTTCGAAGGGTTACTACACGGAAACAAGTTGGGGCCTCAGCATTAAAGTTAGCCTGCCTATCTATCTATATTTTATATCTATGTGTAAAATTAATTTTACCTATTTATTATCTTTGAAACGCGGAAAGTTATCTTTATATATATGACTCTATTTATTTATTACTTTATATATTAAATTTTAAAATATATAAAGTCATCTTTAAAAAATAGTTTATCATATAAATTTAATTCAATAAATATAAATAAAAAATTATAAAGCCTTTTGTTTAAATTTTATAATTTATATTAAAACATTCATTATATTTAATAATTTATTATTATAATTATTTATTTAAAATTTTATAATAATGAATAATTTATGATATTATGAAATAATATAAATTTTATTTTATATTTTAAAAATAAGATATTTGTATGCTATTTTATTTTATGTTAAGAAATATTAAATTATATATATTTTAAATAATTTTAAATAATAATTTATTTTGACAAATAATTTTTTTATTATATTTATATATTTTATATTTAAATTATATATTTTATATTTTAAAATAAAAAGAAAACAAATTGTGCAATGGACGGGCATTTTTCCTAGTTACTCCTAGTTACTTGGTAAAACATGGATAAATTTTTTTAAAAAAAGATATCAAATTTTAATGGCATTATGAAAGCATAAGATTTGAACTAAGGTTTTGTTGTTAAAAAAATACCTTATTGTTATTGGTTAAAAATCATTAAAAATTATAAAAATATTTAATTTATTAAATTAAGAATAAAATTCACATAATTTTATAATTTTAAATAAATTTTAGTTAATAATAAAAAAGTATGGTGAAACATGTTGCAAACATTTCTTGTATTGTAAAAGCACTCAAAAAATTGATTCTCTTGCCCCTCATTCACTTTGGAGGAAGAAAGGGAAGGGTTTTCAGAGACATTTACTAGCTTGGGAGTTTTTAAATTATCTCCAAAACTCTATTCTATTATATTTTTGTAGTTCTATCGTTTAGAGAGGGGATTTTAAGCATCTAAATAAGGGTAGATAACAAATTTAGCCCATTGGGCCTAAGGCCCACAATTTCAACTACCATCACTATTGGAAGCATTGTGAGCAGCACATAAATAGCAGTGTGAAATTGGAAACTATCTGTCCATGGAAGAAGATGCATAATCTAGTTAATGCTAAAAATAAAGCATTTCTCTATTATTATAGTTGTTCCCATCGAACTATTATATAAGTTAGAATTTCTCTATAATAAGTGATAGTGTGAGAAAGAGAAATGTGTATAAATTATTTTCCTTAATGGAACCAACATTGAAAAATTAGTTTTTCATTGTACTACATAAGTGTTCTTAAATTTAGTTATATAAAATTTAAAAATATCAGTTTCAAATATGTAAAAAATTATTATAGTTAAGTAATTAAAAAAATATAATAGAATAAAAAACATTATCATATAGTTATGAATAATTTTTTAAGGAATAACTGAAATAAACATTGTTTTAAAATTTATGAAAATGATTTGAAAGTAAATTATTTAATTCAATCACTAATTTGATCTGATGTATTGAAATTTAAATTTATAAATTGCATGTTTCAAGATATAAAAAACTTTAATGTTAACAGTAAAATAAATTAGGGTGTGCACAATTTAAAAAATAGTATTTAAAAATGTGATTGATATAAGAAAATTTACACGATACTCGAGAAAGAAAATAAATTGAAAGAAATTTTTATTCTTGTAAACGAAGAATATATAAAAACTCAAATTTAATAAGTCATTAATAAATTGTAAATTTATATAATTTTTTTAGATAAATTAAATTTTACATATAAATATTAAAATAATTTCGGAAGGGTCCACCCTTGCCCCCTTCATCGGCCTATGCATGCTAATGCTAGCTCATCGATTCACGCATGACATTTTATTTGTTCAGTATATAATGCAGAGAGATGTGTTATGCTTACAATAATTTTTTATTTTTTTAAAAAATTTCTTTGTTACATAATTTATTTGATTATCCTTTTTCTTTTTTCATTTTAATCTTTATTTATTTTATCAAAAAATAAAATAAAATAATTGTAAAAATAATATTTCTCTAATGCAAAAACAGTTTTCCAACTGGAGTTTGAATGTTAAAAATTGTGTAGGTTCTATCATTATTTTATGTTTAATGAAAAATGTTATTTTACCAATTACAAATGGGTTCTAAAGCCAACCCCAGAAGAACACACACTTTGATTTGATTAGAAGTGTGGGTTGTGGCAATCATGCAAAAAACTAATATAAATGCCTGCATCCTCTCGCGTTAATATATGATGACAATATTATGATGTAAAATATAAATACACAAAAATAACAATAATAAAATTTTATACAATAGTAATGTTTTGGTATTCTGCTTGTTTCTCTTTTATTATAAGACCAAAATTAAATAAAAGGATATTATCCTTTTAATTAAATTCGATTATACTTTTCATTCTTTTAGTTTAAACTGTGTGATTTTATTTATTTAAAATGTTTTTGAGTTCATTAATATTTTATTTTTAATATTGAGCAAATTTTATTTTGTCATCGATTTTTTATTTAAATTCTAAAACTTTCTATCCAAAATTTTCTCAACATTGAAATAATTAACTTGCTTCAGGCATTCTTCTATTTGAAAATTATTTTTTCAATGAAAATCTGAAGTTATAATAACTATTTCATCTTTTGATAAAATTTTAATACATCCAAACACTTAAAACCAGTCCTAGATATACACACATGAGTACATATTTTTTAATTTTTTAAATATAAATCCATCATACTATTATCTATAAAAAAATCATAAACTCCTTACTAAGAAACTGTAGCGAAAGAACCAATTTAAACACCATGAATAAATGACTTTAAAGGGGAAAAAATCATTATTATTAGAGGAGATTAATTATGGAGATGATAATAAGAGTACTTATCTTAACATATCTGAATTGAAAATTTTTCTAAACTTTAAATAAGAAGCCACAAAAGTTGATAACATTTATCGTAAACATTATGAAAACATTCATGTGACAACCCGAACTCGATTTGCATTTGGATTTAAAATTGCTGTTTTTTCTTATGCCTTAAATACTAGCTTCTTTTATGATAATTCTATCAAAATTGTTTACATATAATTTTGGCTTTAACCATGCAAAATATAGGGTATTTACTTTAAAATTATATATAAGTGTGATGCAAATGAAGTAGGCATAACTTTTTTGTTTTGGATTTTTTGTTGGTACAGAGAATCGTAACACAAGATGCATATCGCGAAAAAATTAAAAAGTTGGGTGCATCTCAACTATACATATGTTGTAGTTATCATATCCTTATGCATAGAGGATGGGGGTATCAAATAAAAACAATAGTTATCTATAAGACAAAAGTACCTTTAATGTTTCTATTTCACATAAAAAGGATTGGTTTTTCTAGAGGTTGATCGGTTGCAACTTGCCATTTCAAAACCATGCTCGAAGCAACATCAAAGGGTCTTAATTTCAACTTGGTAGGTGTCTCAACCCCTTATCAATGTGAAAGAATTTTTTTTCTTTTCCATGGTTTGAACATCTAAAAATTAATATTAAATAAAACAATAATAATAATAATAATAATAAACTTGTAATATTACATCTAAATGAAAAACAAGCATTTAGCTTCTCTGACCTTCACTCTGTTGAGGGGTGAGAATCCATGGCCTTGCTTTGATTTGTTTTATTATGAAAGCAAATGGCATTGCATGGGTGGGTGATAGGGGTGAACAAGGAAAGTTGGTGACAGATTATAACACACATAAGTGGTCCCACCGCCATCCTTATTTATAGCTGAAAGTGACTCAACAATTTTTGGGGTTAATTGAGGGAAGCAAATGCTGGGAGGGTTGGCATTCCAATTCATAAATGACAATTCAATCTTTCCTATCACTCTACCATTAACAATAAGACAAATTTTAGTAACACATTTTCTAAAATCCTCTTAATTCATTTCACCTTGTTAAAAATTATAATGTAATTTTTATTTTATTTTTGTATTTTTATAATTTTTAATAAATTTTAATTTTAAAATAATATATTAAAAAATGTTACCATCATTCTTCTAATAATAATTGGCATTTTTATTGGTCACCACCACATTGTTGATTGAAGTTCAAAGGACCCTTTCATTTTTGCTTCTCATTGTCCTTCCCTTCCCTGCTTTACAAGCAAATCGGCTTTAGTGCCTTTCAACTTTCACTAGTTTTTCGTTTTTTTTTCGGTATTCATTACATTCTTGATAAGAATACCATTTATTGTATTTTGTGTTTGAAAAACACAATTTATTGTTAAAATTCTTTTGAGTAAAATCTGTTTTTGGTCTTAGAAATATGGCTACATTTTATTGAATACTCTATTTTTTACTCTATTTTAATCTTTATAAAATATATATTTTAATAATATAACATATATTTAGACATGTGATGTCGTATGTTACTTTAAAATTGTTGTTAATGTTATATGTTACTTTAC